CCAAAATCAAATTTTTAATTAATAGCATTAAAAAAATAAATATCTCAATATGGAATATGATATAAGAAATATTTTAAGTAAGGCAGAATCAACAACAAAGAATCTCTAATTTGAGTTAATATGAATGTCAAAATAATTATTCTTGGAAATTAATAAGCGCGAGGAAGGTTATAAAACCATCGACGGTCGCCGGACTGACGTCTTGACTCTTTGGGCTTCCTCTGCCCGGCTCTAACGTCAAAATTGACACTTTTTCTTCCTGATATGAATCTAACGGCGTAGTAAATGTCAGACGAAAATATCATTTTCGTAATTTACTATAGCAGTCTTGCGTAAAGGTATTAAATCATTTAAGTGATCAAAATAGCAAATCATTACTTTTTGTCGTCGTGCACTCGATGCATGAGCACGGCTGACCTGTATAAAAAGGAATGCATGTGGGCCAGCGGTCATGATTGGACTAATTCAAAAACCAGATTTCTAGTGGAATGATCGCATGGCCACTGAAGCAGCATCAGGCAAACATGTGGTCACGGGCTGGATAAGACTTTCCCGATCGCAATGGCAGCACACGTTGCGCTCATCTATCCCAGCGTGAAAGGACGAGTTCTTAAAAGGAATTTACACTACAGTCCACTGTAAATTATTCTCATGAGAAACGACGAAAAGAGGAAATTCTCTGATTCGCCCGTTTGAAGCAAAGAATCTCAACCTTTTTAATGTTTCTTCGAGTTAAACATGTTCACCCTCCGCTGTTATCCTTATTGTACATGAGAAGAAAATGTCTTCAGTAATGCTTTTAGGCGTGAGATGAATTTGCCTGTCGAGTGTTGGCTAGCTATGTACACCTGTATTTACATAAAAGCTTTACTTCCAGCCCAAGCCCTTAATGGAGTTTACAACTTTGGGCTGGCTGCACAACTGTTTTTTAATGAACAGGGCATGTTTAAGTCACACACAGTGGATCGTAGGGCGAAGTGTCTTCATCTTGATTCCCCACAAGTCAAGATAGATTACTGCTCAAAAAAGGCTACTGCATATCTGATTACATAGATCATTAAGTAACAAAATTATCCACCAGACGGCCGTTTCTATCACAACAACTCACTGGCGTTCCAGTGTTAGGACCGTGAATAAGCAAAACTAAGTCTAAGAAGGTAACATATTGCCTCTGGAGAGTGTGCCGGACTCAGTGGAGAGCTGGGTTATAAAAGACGTGCATTCAAAGCAGGCCTACGAGGTGCCATACACCAGTACCCCAGAAAAGATTCAGGGTGCTGGAACATATAGAAACCAATAGAGGGATCCCAATGCGACGCTTTTAGCGTCGATCTGCACACTTCCGCGTTTGAAAACGAGGCTGTATGTGTCAGTTTCAATTCTAAATACGTTCAGACGAATGAGAGTAAGGAGTCAAGACGCAAAATACATAAATTATGTTGAATCAGACTTTTCAGGCTGCAATTTTTTGTGGAAGAGTCTTTCAGGATGACTCCACACGTCAAATCAAACGAAAAAATAACGGCAATTTACCGCAAATTAACGTACCTGCGATGATCGTGTATCTGCATGTGCGGTGGGCGTGGTTCGAACTGAAGTGGCATGACGCTTAAGAAACGGATACTGCATATACTGTGTCGACTCCGCGGGCGGGCGCGCGCGCGCGACCGAGTTCAACACAGAGGCCCTTGGTTTCGATGCTGATATGCACAGACAACGCTAATATGAAATCCACCTATGGTCCCTCGGGTTTGCCGGTTACTGCTTTATTTGTTGAACATCAATCTCTCATGCGTAACCGTGGAGGACGGACCACAAACTTTCATATTGTAACCTGCTGACCTTTGCGTATGGGAGTAAATGTGTCCAGGGACTCATAGATTTGTTCACGCGTAGGCCAGTACCCGGCCCTACACGTTTGATAAACCCGGAACTTGAATGTATAAGCATGGTATAACGCATCGCGTGAAAACAACTCAGGCTGATTCAAATTTATTGAAAATTGACAGGGACCTTCCCCCTTTTAAACTAAACCTCTGTTTTTTCCAGGGAATATGATTAACCTTTCACTAAAGGAAATACTGTGATATTTGTTTCCAGTAATAATCATCAGACTGCTTAATAATAATAATAACACTCAGTGAGTTGAATTGCGGTGTTATCTTTTTGTAATGCAACAAGCTATTCAATCGCTCCTGTGACCTCTAACCTTAGCCGCGATTAAGCAATGTTCAGTGACGTCTTGATCATGCAGCTGATACGAGCTATATATGCAATCACACGTATTGGATATCTCGCCTATAGGCCCTACATGTGCAGCAGGCATACGTTTTTCTTCTAGTGCAACTCAGGTTGAACAAAATCGTCATGACGCGGATTGTCCTGGCCGCGCTAGTGGTCGTGGTTGCTGTGGTAGCGTACATAGTGCTGGAACCGGTCCCGGACGATGTTGGGGACAGCCCGTGGACGGTGAAATTGTTTTCACTCCGACGAAGTTTGGTAGGTCGACGGCATATCACGCTGGCTGACCAGTATCTGCACATGGATTGTGTAGTCATTGTGCACAATGACTTCATGTTTAGGAAGCAGGCTACAAGCGTTTTCATGCAGTTTAAATTTTTGAAAAATGGCCATTAAATAGTGCCGGCCCCCAAACTGCCTGCGCGGGCCAAATCAATATTTGCTCTCCGTCCGGCTTGTGGAAAAGGATGGAAGCTACTTGTATACTGTACTAGCACGTCTACCAGCTGAGTTTCTGAAAATATTAAACAAAACAACAAGGGCCTCCAAATTGGTCCATTTTGAAATGGAATGTACGCATCAATTTAACAACCGACAATGGGTTTTGTGACTGTTTTATGGTAATCATCTCTTGACAGAGATATATATCTTTAAAGGAAATAAATAATGAGGAAATGAGCTTTAATTTGATGTGTGTCTTGAACACCTGAGAAACTTGTAATTGTCATTCATTTAACACTGTAATAGCAGCTTAATTACTGGTCTGAAAGCCTTTGCTTAATGATGAAATATGGCTGTACAGCGAGTACCATCTTATTGGATCCGTTAGTTCATTTATTCCATTTTCTAGGCAGGCCCTACATGTACTATATTGAACGGATAGGCCTAGTAGGCCTACTCAATTATGTATTTACACGTGTTGTACACGCCTATGTGTCCTGGCTTGAAAAAAGAACAGAAACTTTTCAGGGTTTTAAATGCACTTGTTTGATTCAAAAATTCCAGCAAATACCTGGATTATGTTTTTGAGTGCTGTTTATGCTGCTCAAATCATAAGGGCGCTGTGACCAGTCGATTGTTAACGCGTCTTCAATGTCTTGACTTCTAGCGTCCATTCATAAGTAACGCAAATTTATGTTACAGTGTTTCAGTCAAACAGGATTAAGACCGAGCAAAAATTGCGCAATAAAGTAATCTACAACAGGTATTAATTAAATATATAAAGAACTATACTAATGCCATAAAGTGAACCGACTGCAGAGTCCCATATTAATGAAGTGCTTGAAAAAGAAGAAGAAAAAAGGGAAGCCGGGATTTCTTGGTGAATGTAGCAAGTTTTCAAAGTTTATACCTCATGAAAAGTTTGTACATTAAAGCCCGAAATATGATGCTTGGATCACACAGGGGGTGTAAATCCTGCGGGAGGATGAAGGGTATCTCCCCAATTTGTGTGTGTGTGGGGGGGGGGGGATAGATAGATCATTTTTCACAGTTTTTGTGGTGAAAAAAAGGGTTGATTTCTAGATATTTTTTAACTTCCCAGCAAGAAATATATTTTCAGCCTTAAAAGTATGTAATTTGTTGTATGGTTTAGAGTTTAGGCTTACATATTACTCTGTCATGGGAAAACTCTCAAAGTATCTTGGCGTCCAGCAATGCCCTAACCCTGGAATTTTTTTATCAGTCATTCCTACCCCCTCTCCTAGTCCCCGGCACAAATTTACACTATTGGGTCAGGCATGCGAATGGCTGACTCTGACACTGTGAATCAATTCATTAAAGCCAAAGACTTCAGTTGTAGTTTAAAACCTGTTTACTTCGGCCTAAAAATAGGCTTCATGGAAGGGGAAGGAACCGAGGGTAAAAGATGCACAGGGTTGCCTGAAAAACCACAACGCAGACATTGAGATGAGAATTGTTGTGTTGTCAAAAAGTTCAGATACCTTGGAGTTGCACCTCAGTCAACAACGATACACTTTGTGGTAAAATAATTATGGGCTTGATGATGTCTCCAGCCAGCGCATGACGTGCCTGGAAAACACAATAATTGTCGACAAGCCACTTGATGTCATATCGATTACAATTTTTGGCCCGAGCACATTTGAAAAGGGCCCGTAATTCTATATGTCCAGCCCTCGCGTGCGGATCAAGGGGTGGGGGTCGATCCCCCTGCTTGGACACCAGAAATGAAATAATTTAAAAGAACGATAGAAAAACATACTATAAAAAGATGACATCCATGAAAAGTTATTACTTCTGAGTGCATATTTAACAATTTAATTTATTATCTATGTGTACTTCGTGACATTAAAAAAAATACAATGGCCTTAATCACCCTGGAAAAAAATTCTGTGTCCACCCCTGACCCTGGGGTTCTGTGCTACACTTGTGATTTCAGGGACAACAGCATTAAAGGACATTCAACACTGCCCTAATTCCTCAGTGATATTGCAGTTGTGTTTTCTTGAGCTTCTATAGATGTTAAATTTGTTATTAACTGTTTTAGAAACCCTACATTAAATGGTGGACCCCGAGTGGCCTCGACCAGTGGCTGGATGAAACAACCAGGGCCAGCCTCCAGGAAGGCGGGCCTAAGGTGCCGTACTGGGAAGCGGTGTTTGACCGGGTACCGGTCCGGATATTTGCCGATGAGTCAGCGGAAGGAAAGACCGGTAAACGGCCGGCTATTGTCTACTATCACGGAGGAGGGTTTATACGAGGAAACTTAGGTGCGTAGCCTCAGCAGCGCCTACAGTCTACAGTTAGAAAGCTTAAGAATAGATCGGGAGATTGGGAGTTTTACCTAGTTGTTTGTGCACAAATTCGAGGAAACTTAAAACACACAACGTATGATGTGGATCGTTGGGGAAATGAAGGGAAGCTGTGAACTTGTGATATTTTCACAGACTTCCAGAAAACTTTGGGACTCGTTGCATATTTACGGGAATCAAGTTTTATTGCGTGGCTTGCAAGAAAAATCGACGAAAATAGCTTGAAGATCTCATAACACCTTCTAAAGATATAATAAAGTGCATTTTTAAAGTTATACTTCTGTGTTAACCCCAATCATTTGTTCATGTACAGCAAAGTACAAAAATTGGAGAAAAAACATATTACTGGAAAACACTAGACGCTCCCTGTGTATAAAGAGATCATTTTGTAAAGTTAACCAAACTTCGATTTCAGTCATGATCTTGCCAGAAATTCGACGGATATTAAAAACTGAAACATCAATTCCCCCTTTGCCCTCAGATACCCACCATCCCATAACAGCCATGCTGGCGAAGGGGCTCGATGCTGTTGTAATTTCTGTCGAGTAAGTAAACTTCTGTTTGCGTTCACCGCCTAATCAGTGCTATTAATTAATTGTCAGGACGAAAATGGGATAAGTGGTTCCTTACAAGGACAACCGAAGTTATGTTTTCATGTACATTTTAAACACAAGTCGCCAAAAGCCTTTGAAAGCCATTTCAGGATGAGGGCCACTAGAAAGCAAATCAATAGGGCTAAAAGAAGACAAAGCCAGAAGCCTTTGTTTTGTTTCTGAATATGGAATTTGACTTTCAACTCTGTGTAATTGAGGACATAAAGATAAAACATATAAACATACACATGTTGAAATTTCAAGTATTCTATTAATTATTTCAGTTCGGAGATTTTCAAATGAGCATGGGACGTTGATGCAAAAAGTGGCTGAGATGCATCACTCTTCAAGCTTGTCTGTTTCATATTTCAGCTATCTGTTGTCGCCAAAGTATCGCTTTCCTGCAGCGATCGACGACTGCACAGCTGCTACGGTCTGGTTCCTGAAGCATCTCGACGGCTACAACGTTGACCCTTCCAGAGTAGCCCTCATGGGTGATAGCGCCGGGGGGAACCTGGCTGCAGCAGTATCGCAACGGTTTACCTTCGACCGTCAGTACCGGGATCTTCCCAAGATCAGGTTGCAAGTCTTGCTCTACCCCTGCTTACAGGCATTCGACTTCCACACGCCGTCTTACCAGCAATATGGTGACTACACAACATTACTGCTGGACAGGGCTACGATGACATTCATGTGGGACTCGTATCTCCACGGTAAAAAGGGAAGTTCTTGGAAGGCCATGCTGATCAACAACCACACCTCAGCAGCTGCCAAGAGGTCCCCTCTTGTCCAAAAATGTCTCTCGCACGATCTCATCCCAGCTGGGTTCAAGCAGACGGGCTACAAAGCGCATTCAACCGACTTCGGGGACGAAGGAATCTACGACGAGATCAAAGGAGTTCTTTTGAATCCAGACTACGCTCCTCTCATGCGAGAAAATCTCAAAGGTCTCCCAGAGGCGTACATCTTAACAGCCAAGTACGACATTTTGAGGGATGACGGCATCATGTACGCCAAGCGACTGGAGAAGGCAGGAGTTCATGTCACTTGGAAGCACTATGAGAAAGGTTTTCACGGCATGTTCACCAGCTCAGAAAGCCTACCCGTACCGTCCACACCGCCAGGCCGTCAGAGTGTTTCAGATTTTCTCCAGTTTGCTCGGAAGAAACTTTAAACATCGTGTCCTTACCTGTTCAAGGAAAGAAGTGTTTCACTTTAAATGAAATCTGTAATTACAACAGAAAATATTAGCGCATCAAATTTAAAAAATCATAGAGAATATGAAACCGTAGAACGGTGTTTTTAATTGTTTAGAGCGTTCTTCACTGTGTTTCAAGTTATAATTAGGCCTATTCTATGCCACAATTGCTTTTTCTGCGTCTATCAAGTCAATTTTAATCCGTCTGTTGTACGGTTAACTGTACATTCTTAAAAACTGACTTACTGACTTTGGGAGCTTAACTTTGGGAGCTAAACAGGCTGAGGGTTTTCGCGAACAGCATACGTCATACACGAGAGCGCTTCCCTCAGCTCATCGCTTCCCAAATATAGGCCTATCTACAAAATGTACACGTCATGAAGCACTGAGGGCGGCTTACAGCCAAGATGAGTACGTTAGTGTCGTGCACAAGTGACAGCTTGAGTGTCAGTTATACTAGAAAATATTCGACCGTCCTCCAATCGAATACAAGTATTCAAATATCCAGCTGTTCAAAATTCCCACGAACGAAGAAACAATATGCACATTTATAGAAATGGCGGGCAAAGAAAACTTTGAAGGAAAAGTAATTTGAGGTATATTTTTGAACATATGCATTACCTGACTTGAAGTTTACTGGTAACATCTTATTTTGCTTTTATAGAATCTAGAAATAGCCACTTTAAAACAAATGATTTTTTTCCTTTTAAAATTTCAGTGTAATATTTACTCAGAGTATTGAAATTGGAAAATTTAATTTCGAATAATGACCAATACAGCCCTAAACGAGAGGTTAAAAATAATTAAGAGCCCAAGATCGGCAGTTAGTCCTATATATAAACATACTAAGCAAACCATGTGAAGCCTTGACAATAGGCCTACCAGCTCATTTGAACGGGGCAAAACCTTCATGACAAGTAAATACGAAACTTGATGGTGACACATCGCATGAACACAATTCGGACCGTTTCAGGAAATTCAACAATACAGCAATACGCGTGCACGAGGTCTGCCCTATCAGCGCGGTCCATAAAGCTCTGTGCAAAACCTAGAGTGCTCGTGTGCTGACGTGGATGTGCAGCCGCCATTGCCATTGTGGGCGGAAGTAAGCTAAAAGTGCCCGGAAGTGATATAACCAAAGATTATATACCGCCACGCTGCGGCGCAAGATGGGTAATTCGGCCATAATGGTGTTATCACCATGCATGGGCGCCATTCGAGTGTGAACGTTAATGTGTGTGCGTGTGCCTGTTGCGGCGCCTGCGCCTGTGCATTAAACGGCACTGCGCAGGCTTAGTCCAACCAGAATGGCGCCCATGTGATAACAACGTTTGACGTATATTTAGGGTGAAGTTCCCCATCTTGCGCCGCTACGCGGCGCTATACGATCTTTGATATAACCACGGGTTGCCTTTAAACAGGTTTCACTGGGACCAGAATGTGCTTCTGTGACGTGTATCTGTACGTATCACACGTAACGAGCAATCCGGTTCGTAAGTGACTTCGTCACAAAGGTGGACGCGGCACGATTTGCAGGCTCTCATAGGACAATCGCTGAAGTTGCGCGTTAACTTCCGGTTCCATGGTTCCATGTAAACGGTGATCAATGCATGTAAGTGTGACGTCACTTTGAACCAGAAAGTGCAGTGCAAACAAATGGAGTACGTGCGCGTGTTGGTTTACGCGCTGGTTCTCGTGCTAATGCCTTTTACACACTAATTGTGCGCGTGACGTATTCACTTCGGTACTCTTATGCAGTGCACGTGTGCAGTGGGCGTGGTTTAAAATAAAGTGACGTTACACTTACGAACCGGATACGAACACCGCGCGCACGTTCGCGCCTGGCATGTTTGAATTTTTCCACGATGGCAATAGAGCACCGAAGTGAATACGTCACGCGTACAATTAGTTTGTAAAAGGTATAAGGGTGCATTCCACCAAATGGTTGTATTTCTGCGCACGAGCTCATTAATATGTTGTGATCCCACGGGGTTTTTAAAATAAGACAGGCCATAATCAGGAGGCATCATAGAAACATTTCTATAAATCTCGAATTGAGGACTGATAGTCTCCAGTTCAGGGTATTTCTTTCACAAAAAGCTCGAAATTGCGGACCTATTTTGGATAGAGGCGGGCGGACACATTCAGAAATGAGCGCTTAGTTTATTGCTATTTTGGGGGTATCTTTGTTCCAAGGCGAACAAAAATTTTATGTATCTAATCCCCATGAAATTGAAACGAAAAGTGATCTTCTGGGCATAATCTTGAATTTCCAGTGAAAAAAGCGAAGGCTAACCTCTTCACAAGAGTCAACAGGCGGCGCTATTTCGGTCCAATATTGCACTGTTTTCTGTAGGCGCATATTTGGTGTAGTACAATCATAAGCGCGAGAACCAGTGCGCAAACCAACATGCGCGCGTACTCCGTTCGTTTGCACTGCACTTTCTGGTTCACAGTGACGTCACACTTCGGTACTCTATGGTCGTTGCTTCAGGTCAGCGACGAGTACGCACTGTAGGTTTTTCATTGAGCTCAATAGCGCGGTCATACACGGACTCGCTTGACGCCCACGTGCATTTGGCATTGAGGCCAGTTTGGTATTAAAAAAACACGTGTGCGATGACGGCCCTGGTAAGGGCATCGTGTTAGCTAGAAAAACCACCTCAACTGATTTCTACAACGTACAATGTACCCTGCAGAAACAGTCTCTTCGATATGCGACAAGAAACGTTTCAGATTATCACCGTATCATTTCACCACAAGTACGTTTGAAAAAGGAATACTTCTAGGTATATGTAACTCATTCAGATTCTGTTGGTCCTGTATTTTCTTGATCTGCCTTCTACTTTTTTCAATACAAAAGAATACCTACGTTAAATGGTGGACACCGACTGGCCTCGACCAGTGGCTAGATGAAAGATCCAGGGTGCAGTCCCGTTCAGGTGGGCCCAGCGCGCCGTACAGAGAAGCGGAGTTTGACCGGGTACCAATCCGGATATTTGCCGATGAGCCAGCAGAAGGAAAACGGCCGGCCATTGTCTATACTACCACGGAGGAGGGTTTATAGGGGGAAACTTGGGTGTGTAGTCTGATCAATGCCTACTGTCTCCAGTTTAAGATCTCGATAAAAGAATAAAGAGACGGAGCAAGATCCTGGCATGGGGGGGTGTCATATTGGTCATATTTTTGCGGACTTGCAGTCGCATTACATTAATTGTTACTAGCAAATCATCATTTATTTGCTATACCATTTGTTCGTATTATTTTTGGAGTTATGAAAGCAGATGTGGTATCAAGTCAAGTTTTTGCAAATCCAAGTAAAGTCACAAGTCATTTTGGCAATTCTACGTCAAGTCACAAGTTAAAAACTGTTAGTTACAAGTCTAGTCACAAGTGAAAAAAAATTGCGGCTTGAGTCCAAGTCAAGAGACTCGAGTCTACTCGCTGCTTAACAGTCTTTCAGAAATTTCCAGGACCAGGGGCATATTTGCCCGAATTATGTATAATTGCAGGACATGATCAAAATTTGAGGAAACTATTTGGAAGATCTAGGAATGCCTTTAACGGATGTAAAAAACTACCCCTATAAATTCACGCTGCAGTCTCATCCTACAACCCTATCTCCTTGTACAACAGTGTACAGATCAATGACTTTCCCTTTTCAAACAATTTTTCGTTTTTAAAGGTAGCCAATTTGCATTGAATTGTGCTGACATTAAAGACTGCAACGTCCATATACCCTCTATGCTTCCAGATTCCTGTCATCTCTTAACAGCAATGCTAGCGAGAGGGCTAGACGCCGTTGTAATTTCTGTCGAGTAAGTAAACTTAACATTTTTCTGTTCACTGTCTAAACTTCGTTGTCATTTTCACACCTTAAATAAGTATCCGTTTTAGGACGAAAATGGGACCAGTTATTCTTTGTGGATTCGACTTACAAAGCTAACTTTTGATGTATATGAACGTCCGTGGATATTTGGTTGTTGACGGAAACTTAACCAAAAGTTATTTTGCACAGCAACTTTCTTGTCTTAGAAATTCTTCAAATCTTAGTCTGGTTCTGCGCCTACATAGTCGCTGTGACTTGGTATTCAGAAAGTGAAAATCAGCCATTTTTCAATTTCATTGAGAAAAATCCTCCATAGCCACGAATCAGCAGAAAGAAAATTTAATATTTTGTATTGAAATGCTGGAGTCAATTTGAAAAAAACAAAAACAAAAGAAACGTCTCACATTTTGGGACGAGAAAAAAGGACGTCAGCTCGGGATCAATCCCAGCTGGCAGCACATCATGTGATCCAAAGTTGTGCGCATTATCCACTAGACCGCTGAACCCACTTGAAATTTAATTACCTTTATTGACTTACTTGTGTCTATGCATTAAAGAGGGTGCTCAATATTTGTAGCCAGCTAAATACCGTCCAGTTTCATTTCCCAACAATGCTAAATATCCACTGTCTATGAGCGTTTTCGAATCGAGTGGATTTGGCGTAGACCGACTTTGGTTTTGCTGGATCCAGCCATTTTGAAGCAGCGTTCGAAACCATATGTTCAACCGCTGACTGGAACCAGCGAAACCGAAGTCTAACCCGAATCTACTCGTTTCCAAAGTACTCTATATACAAGCCGCCCATGCAAGGTCTATGAAGGCCGCTCAAGGTGAGAGTTATAAAGAAGCAAGCAAGAAAGGAGGAAAGATGATGAAGAGTAGCAAACGAAGGCAATCAAAATGGATGTAAAAGATGCTTGTTTGTAATGTTTAACTATGGTTGATGATTCCAAGTGTTTTGTAAAAACTTTTCCTTCGGAGGTTTTCAAATGTGCATGTGGCGTGGATGTGAGAAAAGCTGCAATGCGTAACTGATAATGCATGTCTATTTCTTTTTTCAACTATCGTTTGTCACCAAAGTACCTCTTTCCAGCAGCGATAGACGACTGCACGGCTGCCACGGTCTGTTCCTGAAACACCTCGATGACTACAACGTTGACCCTGCTAGAGCAGCCCTCGTGGGCCCCAGCGCCGGGGGGAACCTGGCTGCAGCAGTATCGCAACGGTTTACCTTCGACCATCAGTACCGGGATCTTCCCAAAATCAGGTTGCAAGTCTTGCTCTACCCCTGCTTACAGGCATTCGACTTCCACAAGCCGTCTTACCAGCAATACTGTGACTACACAACATTGCTGCTGGACAGGGCTACGATGACATTCATGTGGGACTCGTATCTCCACGGTAAAAAGGGAAGTTCTCGGGAGGCCATGCTGATCAACAACCACACATCAGCAGCTGCCAAGAGGTCCCCATTTGTTCAAAAATGTCTCTCGCACGATCTTATTCCGGCTGAGTTCAAGCTTTCAGGCTACAAACCACCTTCAACCGACTTCGGGCCGTGGGCTGCGCTAATGCCATGGTGCACTGTCCCAATTCAAGGAGAATTCTCCGCAAAGCTTTGGGGGTTAAAAAAGTACCCCCAAATCTCTTTCGAAAAAAGGAGTCGGTGGGGCCAAGATGATCATACCTTTGCGCTTTGTGTCTTGACTCCTTACTTTCAATCGTCTGATCGTAATAATACGACGAAGAATCGTTTGCAGCAGGCACAGCGTCACTTTGTGGCAGACAGTATATGTACACGCATCGTGCATATCTCGCCGCGGCGTTGTCGTGTGAAGCTGACACATACAGCCTCGTTTTCAAAAACGGAAGTGCGTAGATCGATGCTAAACGCGTCGTATTGGGATCCCTCCATAGGTTCAGGGTCTCCCATTTGGGGGAAAAGCAAACAAAAATGTTATTGAAAATTGTCAGAAGAGCTGAGAAAGTTAAGAGAAGTCAAGACACGTCAAGAACCTTCACTTTTTAAGGGTGAGTTTGTTTTGGGCGGATAATTTAAAAAAATGATTCATTAATCTACTAAAATTTGAAAAGTAAATGAATTCTGAAGGACCAGACAACACATTTCTTTTGTTTGACAGTTAAGTGCACCCTGATCCTACACCATATGAAAGCAAGATATGGGAAGGAGAGCGCCCTCCCCATCGCCGTGTTGGTCACTGATCGGAATCTGAAGAGTTCTTTTCAGACATGGGGGGAGGGGGAATGTGTTACGTAACAATAGTCTAGAGTGTGTATACCGATTGGACATGGAGCGGGGACCTTCCGTCCCATATCTTGCCGGGTATCCACTTCGAGCGGAACAATATAGGGCATGTTTTTTGGTACTGACCACATAGGCGCGCCATGAGGCGCGCACGTATATGCGCGTTTGACGCGGAGCACGCTGAGTACGCGTAACTAATTTATTCCGGTTTTTATGGTCTTTGCGTACACGCAGAACGCGTGCAAGAACCCGCTTGTAACCACCTGTCTTTCGCCGTTTTTTTTGGGGGGGGGCTGCACTTCAGCTCCGGGAGGATCACAGACAAAGAAACACATAAACGGACAGCTCCTATTCAAAACAACGGCGGGGTACCATAGCCGAGACGGCACTCGACTAAATCTAAAAGCGTGGGCAAATTCGACCCTAGGTATAGGGAATTTACACACAGTTGAAGAATTCCAACCATAAAATTCTCTAAAGCCATTTTTCGATTGGAAAAAAATCCTCTGTTTACTTAATCTGGCTCATACAGATGCAAAACAGTGCGGTTGCAACATTTGAAAAGAAGAGATAGCCCTACAAACGAGTAAAAAGGGAACGTCTTTTTATAGCACATGTAAGCAAATACATGCAATCTTAGTGAGTAACATGCAATTTGCACTGAACGCGCTGCCATTCATCGTTTCACCCACTGCTTGCTTTTTAAAATCAAGGTTATGCGCGCAAGACTGGTGGTCTATGTGTTTATATGTCTGTGGGGCAGATACCCTACACGCGTTTGAATGACCTCGGACGCGTTTCATTTTGGGCATGCGCTGCTGTATTACCAACCTGTGTCACCAGCTGTCACAGTTTCGAAAACATTTCAATGGCAAGATTGGAATCTTCGAAGTTATGCAAAAGAGCGATCACCTGAGCTCGGATTATGTGACGATGGAAGACTGTATACAGTGGCTGTTGAGCTAGGTTTTTTTTTTTTTAAATAATTCAGATGAAAGAATGTCGAAACTTCCAACTTAAAATTTACTTGAACATAATTAACTCAAACTCGAGAAAACAATCCAAACTCAGAACAATTCACAACAAAATATGAGGTTAATTCCAACAAATTTTCATTTTCAGCAGCAGTTTTAGGTAACTTATCTCACTCTAAGGCTTTGCAAACCTCAAATATCAAAGCTTAAAATGAACTCAAATTAATCAAACAAATAGTCCACAGTGTGTATGGCGATTGGACAAGTGGGGGGGTACCCCTCAGTCTCATTTCTTGCTGGATATAACTTTGTTACAAAAAGCCATGATTGCACGACGATGGTAAAGTACAACAGCAAGTCACGTCGATTTAGCGCAAAGGGAAAACAAAAAGTAGTAATTGAAGCACGGAGACAGATTTAAGTTACAAAAAAATTACAAGACAAGAACAATTGACTAACTTGGACAACCGTGGGAGGCCTGAAAATGAAACCAGTTACAAATAATTATTTGTCCGTGTCCCTTGGTTTGTAGATGTATTTCGCCGGCAAATTGTTCACATGGAAGGTTTACTGAGCTAATTTACCGAGATCGCCCAACTCGGTCCTTATAGCCCGCACACCTGGGATTTAAGGACAAATTGCTCTATTGCTGTCATCGATGTTGTAATGATATTGTATTACATATGACTGTTACACACACACGCGCAGTTTTGAATGACAGTGTTACTGTTTGAACCTGTGTCAAGGTGTACTTTGCGTCAGGGAGATGTGAATTTTAATCATGGGTTTTGCCTTAACATCGACTTATATACTCAGCACTGTATACTCAGTGCTTGCCCGAGAGCTCACTCGGGAGGGACTCGACTCTACGACCTCCTGATTAGTGCAGACACGTTTACCTCCCGACCACCGAGGTTGCCGGTGTAACGGTCTCATTTATCTGAAATGCTCGGATTTCCAGAAGAATGCACCGGATAAATACGGGTATTTCAAGATGTTAAATTTAATTATATGTTTTGCTCTCAGTTTGAACTGAATATAATGCACAATATTTTTCTAAAAAGTCTGACAATGGCCTTCAGTTAAATCCACTGTGTTACTGAGGCGTTGCTTGCAGTTTCCACTCATTCCTTGAGATTTTACTTGTTTCAACTTGAGTAATTATGAAGTATTCTCTTGAATATGCAGATCCAAGTGTCCATTCGGCTTAAAAACACTATTAAAGGTCTGAGTATATACTTGGACGTTGATATAATCGTTCTTGATGCTCAAAGTATCAGCATTCGGATTTGCGTCACGCTCGACACTTCAGTTGGGCTTGGATAAATGTTCATTAATAACGACACTGAAAAATGGTGCTGTCTACTACTGCAAATCTATGCACGTGCACTTTTCAGTGATGTAGTCGAGTACTTTTTAAGAACCAAGCTCTCTACCAAATATTTAACTAGTTAGGAGGGAACAAAGCTTAAGTACGTCGGCATTTAATGGTACATTCATAAAGGTAAGATTACAAAGCAACATAATGACTTCAGACAATCACTGTTTGATTAAAGTTAACTTTTTAGGACAAAAGTACTCGGAAAGTATCGGCCGAGTACTTTCCAAGTACTTTTCTCCTTAAAACTTAAATTTTACATAACTGGGAGTGTCTGAAGTCTAACATTTATTTTGTAATCTTACATTTGCACATTTACCATCAAATGCCTGTGCACTCTGGCTTTATTCCCTCTTACCCAGTTCAGTATTTTGCGGAGAACGTTCGTACTCGGAAAGTACTCGACTACAACACTGGCACTTTCGCCTTTTGACCTTTTTCCAGTGATGTCACGATCGTGCTGGACCTATGACGTGTTATGATGGTAATCTACCTATTCAAGATAAACTAGTCGGGAATAGAGCGCTCGCACGTGGTTGCAGCTGTCCGTAGGAATATACATGTATGCGATCACCGTGGCCAAGGCGGTCCGCACTTGGTGGTATCGTTTACACGTGGGTGAAAAAAGTCCATTTGAGGTATGGCGAACACAAAACCAGGGCGGTATTCGGTTCCGGTAAAATCTTTTGAGTTTACTCCAAATTTAGCTACTTCGAATAACGCCTTCCTATTCTGTCTCTGGCATGCTTCATAAAGGATGGAGGAGATACTTCTTTCCATTCTCTGCATGTCATAAAAGTCCTACAACAACTGGAAGTTCTTGGAACTAAGACCAGTACGGTACGCGCGTATTGCATCGCATAACTCGGACCCATCGGGCGCGGGCCGTGGTGGGAGATGTCCCGAGGCACCATGGTGACAAGCAACAGCTGGACCGGGCCAGCTGTATCGACCACACTGCACGGACATGTATAATAAAATCTGGACTCGCAGTGCCCTTAATCAGCTTACAGAGTCATTGAATCCACTCGCGGCCATTTTACCGAGCCGAGTACAAAGCTTTCCTGGCAATGTCCGCCTTTGTTCTTCCTGACGTCAATAGAAGGGAGCCAACCAACGCTTTTTATTCGGCTCGGTAAAATGGCTGCTGGTTGGCCTCTCTTTCATACAAAGGCGTTGCAAGTCCAGGATTTTTGCATACGTCCGTGCCACACTGCTGCTCAGACTAGACTGGGGTGAGCGTAATGATCCAATAGCCACACTGCACCATTGACTCAGTGTGGAGACGGGTAGGACCAGGGCTATTTAGCAGGACCACAGCGGTGAGGGATATGGAGGTGTCTCACCCGGCAAACAGTTCGGCCGTAGCCGTGACGGGCGCCGCTACGATGCTGCAAAATCTAGCACCCTAGGCTAGTTCGCACCGCACTCGCATCGGTCCAACCTAAGCTAGCTGGGCCTTCATGTGACTACCCGCGCACTTCACCATAAGAACAGTTATTTCGGAACTACCAAACTACTCTCGGAAAGGGTTGACCGCCGCACCATTTTAGGTTCTGCTCCGCACAAGCGTTCGATCCGCCGCACCAGACCGACAAGGTAGGCAAAATATGCTGTACTGGTGTATATATAGGATTGTATGTGCTTAGGAATTAATAAAATATAAGCCTCGTTGAAGAGCTCAACCAAAGGGAGTCTTCCGTCTCCAGGGATCACTTAGCTTCCTGCTAGAGTCCTATGTGTTATATTTATTTTTAATACCTAACCTGTGAACGGCGATTTGCTTGCTGTTGCCTATGAAAACAAAATAAATAAATAAATTTTAACTTAATTTATTTCCCAGGGCCCTAGGGAAGACCACAATCATGTGTAAATGGGCTTCCCTGATAAATCAAAGATAATAATAATAATAATTAGGTATTTTTTCCAGTTCATTTCTCATGCAGATTCTGTCGTGCAAACTGAATAAAATCCGAGACACTCTTATCGCCCACCGTAGTCGAAAGTAGTGGACGATTCTCCAAACTGAACATGCCATGATAACCCTTCATGTAGTGCTTCCAGGTAACCGGCACTCCCCCCTTCTCCAATCGCTTGGCGTACATGATGCCGTCATCCCTCAAGACGTCATACTCAGCAGTCAGGATGTACGCCTCTGGGAGTCCTCTCAGGTCTTTTCGCATGAGAGGAGCGTAGTCTGGATCCAGGAGAACTCCTTTGATCTTTTCGAAAATGCCTTCGTCTCCAAAATCGTGTGAGGTAGATTCGTAGCCACTCTGTTTGAACTCATCTGGAATGAGACCGTGAGAGAGACATTCTTGGACCAGCGGGGACCTTTTGGCGGCAGCCGAGGTGTGGTTGTTGGTCATCTTTGCCTTAACGAGGCTACCTAAATCCTTCCTACCGTGACCATACAGGCTCCACATCCACGTTGCAATTTCCGTGTCCAGTATCAAAGTACTGTAGTCGCCATATTGCTGGTACGACGGCGTTTTGAAGTCGAATGCCTGTAAGGCTGGATAGATCAAGACCTGCAGTTTCACTTTAGGCAGGTCTCGGTACTTCTTATCAAAGGTAAGTCGTTGTGCTGTTGCTGCAGCCAGATTTCCACCTGCGCTATCCCCCATGAGGGCAACCCTTGCAGGGTCAACGTTGTATTCGTTGAGGTGCTCTAGAAACCAGACTGTCGCAGCCGTGCAGTCATCTATCGCTGTCGGAAACACGTATTTTGGAGCCAAACGATACCTGTACAAGTAAAATGCAAGAACTTTGTATTTGGAAAAATGCGTATTAAGCCTTTCGACGCAACTTAATAATTTCCACGTGGACCATTACAGCTTAACAACTCAAGCCAGACTGCCTTGAAGGCAACAGTAGCTGCATGAGGGAAGAATAGTCACAGGAACAAACATGCAGTAATAACGTTAGCATAAGCTACTTCAACTGTGCACCATGACAACACAGTGCGTCTGTCTTTCAGGGCATAATTACTGGAACGAAGGTTACTGAGACAGCCAAAGTAGCCCTTAGAAAGCGGCAGCCACACTGTTACAAACTGTTGCATGAGGCAGGTGTAGTTTAAAATATCAGAGCTGCTACTTTTTATGAGGGGATTACAAATAAAATCGAGAGCTCACACATCTGGACAAGTGTGTAGCGTAAAACTCTGCGGGGAACTGGGGGATGAAAAGTGAGTATTGTCAGTGTGTGTATGACTTACCTGGCCATGGAAATTTAAAAGCAGGTGGGCGGGAGTGCTGACACCATATGAAATAATGGGCAATATTAATGATAGCGACGTACATCTGTGATATGTATTACACTCCTCGTGGCTTTTAATGTTCTTCTCCCTTACTGTGCTGTTGAATACAATTTGGTAGTTGGCAGGCGTGAAAATTCTTCACAACTGCCTTATTGTTTTTCTCACCACGAAAAAGTGGAAGATGATTCAGTAGCCCATCCATTGGTCAAAATTGGAGGGGATACGTACCCCCATTTCGGGATTTATGCGAAGTCTTGGCAAGTCACATATATATGTTTCGTGTTCGTCGAAAAGGAACGTGACACGTGTGTGAGAGTGATGCCACTGCAGTACGGCTTCGATTTCTGGTCGCAAAATTAATTAGTTCATACAATGTACATCGCTTGTCACTTATTTCCATGTTATCACACATTGTGTCTAATAAAATGTGCAGACTTACTCCACAGATACTAAAATCAGGTTGAGTTTTCGAGCTAGTAGAGCCGTCACAGGATGGTAGCCATCTGAAGAGAAGGAAAAGATAAGAGTCAATTTCTTTATCCGTAGTATTTGATGCGACACTGGTTAACACAAGGCGAACGAAGGAGTGATCCATGACCTACTCACCTACGCTCCCTCTTATCCACCCTCCACCGTGGAAGTAGACGATGGCCGGCCGTTTAGCGGTCATCCCTCCCACTGGCTCGTCGGTAAATATCCGGACGGGAACCCGGTCAAACACCGCGTCTGTGTACGGCACATTTGGGCCAGCTGCCCTAGAGTCTTCCCTTGCCCTTTCATCGAACCACTCATTGATACCAATCGGTGTGACGAGCTTCAAGACATATTGCTACAATGTATACAAGTATACCCGAAAAGCTGAATAATAACAACTAATGAGTGCCTACTACAGTGAGAACATTTCCGTAAGTTGTTTCCACGTTTTTGAGATACAAAACTATTATGAACAATTATTGTTTTGTAATCTCCTTTTTTCACGCTATAAGGGAAGTCGTATTTTCCTGGATAGGAGAAGACTAAATTACTTTCTATGATATGAAGTATGATTTAAAATTTTTATGGATGCATAGTTCATATCTTTTTATAAAACTAGCTTACAAGTCTCCATTTTAGTGCAGCGGTTTTCACCATCCAGGGACTGTCTCCTACTTCGTCAGGGACCGGTAGGACTATCACGTACGTTACCAACGCCGTCACGACCACTAGACCCGCAAGAATAACCCGCACCATATTGTCTCTTCAACAGTCTAATACACTCAGCAGCGCATAGACCATCATGCTGTCATAAAATGCTCTTGGGAAATTTTCCCACGCTAGACGGAGCCCAATTTTGAAGCTCATAGCACATCCCTTTTCGTGGCTCTGTGGTGAATCACTGTTAACTGTGACAATAACTCCAGTCGTCACAACAGTGTTCGTGTAAACTTACCTTTAGCACCGTTTTTGGTTTGCAGGTCAATCAAGGTAAACACATTGATAAAAAAGACAGCCCACACCACCGTGACAGACACAGTGAGGGTCGAGTGCCAGATCATAATCGCACTGTAAACTTGTTTTCTTGTGTCGATTGTCCATCATTGCACCACGAGAAATACTGTCCTCCTGTTCCAGGGTAGCCTTAACCTCTTCAAACTTGGAAAGGGCCTTTTAATAAGCGTGTTTAATGAATCTGTCGATTGGAGTCGACATGGACCTGAAGTCTTTAAACCGCTTTCATTTTGTCTTCAACTTGTATAGGCGGCCAAAGTCTGCCGAATATGATCTTTTGGTTGGTTTTCGAGTTTACCTCCATTCATTCAGAATGGACAATTGTCTGATTCATGTCAAGTCGGGTTATATTTTCATTTAGTATTTAATTGTACGTGTATTATATGGAGTTCTGGTAATAACGTGGGATTTTTAACACACTTTGTAACATTCTATTACTTTTGCACCACCGGCCAACCAGCTAATTGTAGGAAAAACACGACCATAACTTTCAAAGAGTAGTCCCTTTTAGTGTCCAAAAATCCTACTTCACTGTTTCCGACAAAGATCCACAATCTGATATTAAATTTCACTCTGCGACCTTTTCTCATTCGGAAGAATGAGATAGGCCCTAAGCATTATTTTTAAAATGAGTGTAGGTATGCAGTATTCCTTTGCAGTGGTATTCGACTGTCCTCGCAAGTACACGCACCGTCAAGAATACTTTCAAAGAAAATTACTTGCGCATAACAAAACGCAAAGGACCGATCAAGAGCTACAAAGAGGATTTATCTCCTCTTCACACAAACACAAACGGACGGTTTACAGTATTTGTCATCACCCTTTTACTTCCGAAAACATTCAGTTGATATTTGTTTGTCTGGCAATACAGCATTAATAATAATTGGTATGGCATTTTAATTGCTATACAAGGATTATGCAGGGCGTCCCCAAAGAAGACCTCAAAAATGGTAAAGACAAATCATAGCATTTAGATCAATTAAGGGTTTCTCATCAAAAGTTGTTAGCTGTTAGTTGTTCTGCAGCAAATCTATTTGCATAACCGTCGATGGTTACGCAAATAGATTTGCTGCAGAACGTTTCGATAAAGTATACAGTCCACCAACCAACATCAATGAACATCATCTTCTTCGGTGATTCTGACAACTCCGTCGGGATCTTCTCCCTTTACCACTGTCAGTTCTATGATTAATCTCTTGATGCTTCCAAAGTCTTCGGCCTTTGGCTGTTACACAACAGTTTGGAAAACCAGTGCTACTTGAGGGATAAGATGCCGTGTAAAATGTTAAGAAGACAGATTTTGTTGGGGTCCAGATTTCACATGACACCGGGTCGCTCACGGAACACAGCGTGTATATGTGCACAATATATAGTATCCTTTAATACTGATTTAGGATTACGATTTTCAAACTTATCCCGGTACCAATGACTAAAGGAAATTATGAAATGAGGGTCTTTTGCGTTAAAAATAATACTTGACATCAATATCAGGAGAAAGGGTTCTTGATGACTAGAGCATAGATATTTTAATGGGTCTTTTTAGTTCATCCCTCATACAAAATCCCTCGTTCAAACTGAATAAAATCCGCGACACTCTGGTTGCCCACTGAACTAGAAAGCAGTTGGCAATTCTCCAAACTGAACATGCCATGATACCCTTTCCTGTAGTGCTTTAAGGTCACTGGCACACCCGCCTTCTCCAGTCGCTTGGCGTACATGATGCCGTCATTCCTCAAGACATCATATTCAGCATTCTGGATGTACGTCTCTGGGAGTCCTCTTAGGTCATCTCGCATGAGAGGAGCGTAGTCTGGATCCAGGAGGACTCCCTTGATCTCCTCGTAGATGCCTTCGCCCCCGAAGTCGGTTGAAGGCGCTTCGTACCCAGACTGCTTGAGCTCCTTCGGGATCAGATCGTGGAGAGACACCTTTGGACCAATGCTGATCTCTTGGCGGCAGCTGAGGTGTGGTTATTGGTCATCATGGCACGTCGTCAGGGCCTTATTGATCACTGTTAGGAGGTGACCATTCCTTTGGTAGGATGGTGTCTGAAGTCGAAGCTATGTAAAACTGGATAGATCAAGACTTGGAGCTTGACCTTAGGCAGGTTTAGATACCTCTGATCAAAGGTAAAGTCGTTGTGCTGTTGCTGCAGCCAGGTTTCCGCCAGCGCTGTCACCCATGCAGGCAACTCTTGAGGGGTCGACGTTGTAGTCACTGAGGTGCTCTAGGAACAAGACAGTAGCAGCCGTGCAGTTGTCTATCGCAGCAGGAAATTGATATTTCGGCGCTTATCTGTAGCTGTTATAAAGTATCACAAAATCATCATAGTCAATAAGGTTAAAGGTGGTAGGAATGAAATGCGTTCTTCTAGCTTCTGAAACAACACGCCTACTTGAACATGGAATGATGTCAAAAATAATTTTTAAAGGGCAAATTTTGGACGTGAATTTGAAGATAAAAATTCAAAATGCGGTGTCTTCCTGGAATTACCTCCAAGCGTCATAATATGTTTGGAAAAGCGTTAACAATTTCCAAGCGTTTAAAGAGACGCACTTTTAGGGTTAACCAAACATTCAGGAGAAGTGGAAAATAGGACAAAAATGAGTACCTGAGCAACAAAACAAAGAAACCTTCAGAATGTATTCACGGTCTGCTATTCAGAAGACATACACTTTTCTGGATTTGCATCATGAGAATAGGACCCATTAAGCAGGAGAAACAAGGCTTTCAACATTTTAAAATGTCGTATAGAATACCTTTATCACCAACTTACTCTACACCACAGCCTTCATTTCTCTTGCAAAAAGTGTCAAGAACTTTTCAGAGTCAGAGTTAAAAAATGTCAAACTCAGATATCATTCTGAGGAAAGAAGTCATTTTGGACCATGGCAATGACCACAGACAAAAGTCAAAAGGGTATAAATATATTTCTCTGCTTGTGACAACCTGAAGTCGTCTTTTGAATTGGTTGGTTTCTGCCTCTGGTTCTCCATTTTATGCGTTATCGTAAACTCACAATCAAGCGTCAAAATTGCATGCATCCAGTCTGGTGATAAATATAATTTTATGTTAAAAAAACCTAATGTCATCAAAGAGAACCAAGAAAAAGACCCCTAAATCGGAAGGAAACGAAAAACTTCTGTATCCGAGTTGTATTTCAAAGTCTTACCGAGGCTGCCGGATGTGAACCCTCCGCCGTGATAGTAGACAATAGCCGGCCGTTTACCAGTCTTTCCTTCCACTTCCTCATCGGCAAATATCCGGACTGGTACCCTATCTATCTATCTCTATACGGTACAGCAGGCTCACCTTCCTGGAGTTTCGCCCTGGTCCTTTCATCTAGCCATTCCACGATGCTAGTAGGTATAAACGTTGATAAGCTTTAGCGATTCCTGAAAACATAAAATTCATAGAAAATATTTGATTTTATTGCATTTGGAGTTTATAAGCTTCAAAATGCAATCCTAACTTACCAGCATCAGTTTATACGAAGCTATTCGGACTGCCCACGGGCTGTGAGCGACGTCATCAGGGAATGGTAGGTAAACCAAGTATGCGAACATGCTTATCGTAGAGGAGGCGAGAAAAACACCGGTCACGATACTTTTAGCCATGATATATGTAGCCTCTGGTTATGGTGTTCATGTCTCGCAGGCGTCACAACTCTTCTTGTCTGTGTATCCTGGCGCAATGCTGAAATTTGTGTGGGTGCAATTTGTGACGAGTTTACGGCAAAGGTCGTTGACAATTGAGTTTGGAAACTATTAATCGACATGCCGTAAAATGTCTCATGTTCCGTTGCTGTAGAGCGATAATTCACAGCAGGGCAATTGAAATTTGTGAAAGTTGGACCATCCTAATCTAGTGCTGTCACGGGCGTCGATTGCAGTGCTCATTTGTTAATACGCAAAACAATGCGTTGAGCTCAGAGTAAGATGTTACGATGGTCTCATTTGCTCGAACCTCGCGTATATAGCCCAAAAGAGTACTAGTTTCATGAAAGGCTTTCTAAATTAAGTCAATAAATGTAAATCCTTCCCAAACAAAAATGATTACTGTATAAGTACTTAAGGCAAATATTATACCGCCACAAAGATATTTTGGATGTAAATAAATGAATGTAACCCTGCACCAAAGCCACGACAGCATTATCTTCAGGTGGATTAATATTATATTAATGTATACATTAAAACCATGTGTTTAGAATCTAAACACTAATATAAACGCAAAAACGTAACACTTTATAAACACTGTGACATGTTTTTTTAGTATACCACTTTTGGAAGTCGTAGCCATGGATCAAACACCTTGCGAGTAATGCCAAAAGACGACATAGCAAAACAGTATAGAGATCAAAGTCAACTTTTCCATCCGCAGTCTTGGAAACGACACTCCCTAGTAACCTTTATGTGATCTGCCTTTGTCAACTATATCCACTGTGTATTGTGTGCGTGAGCTGGGCTTGGTTTGTGTAATCTGGGTTATCTTAGCACGACCGATACTGTTTTCATTGCCCGTCGATATCTCTGCTTGAACAGTACCCAAAAATAATGTCCACACAGAATGCAGCTGTCTTGTCAGCTACCCACATTAGCTTTGGTTCCAGACCCCTATTTCGAATGCCCCAGAACGCCGCAATACAAAGCAGCATTAAGCAGCTCTTTATGTGAACAACACGTAATAAATGTTGCAGAATCTGTAGTTATAAAGTAAGCCGGTTTAATGATTTTGACATTACAGCAAATACTATAAAAGAGACAGGGTCAAACAGGGACAATTTTGAGGATCAGGGGGTTAATGTGCTTTACAAACCTTACCCTAATCATTTAACAGGCAAGGGCAAAGTACTTTGGAAAACGTGTCTATTAGAACGTGCATTGTTTTATTTGTGCTGAAGCTATGGTAGTTTTGCAGTGGAAAATGATATGCCGTTTTAGACAAAGAAGTCAAACTGTCGACACAAAATGAACGTTTCATTCGCCACATATATAGAGAATGAAGGGCGAACAAACATTCATACCGCTTACTGCCTATCGATTTTACAAATGCAAAAAGAAACTTAACGTGTCTGAAACACCTTTGCAACAGTGCAATTAAAAGATATATTTGTTACAAATAACCTACATATTTTGAGTGCAAAGATTGATTTAGATGTTAAAGTGGATTATACCATGCGAGAGCTGGGAATCCATAATGACAATCGTTCTATGGCGTTTCTTTGCAAATGGGATGAAGTCCAAGAAGCTTTGATGCCCATTTGCGTGGAAACCACCATACAGCTTTTGCATGTGTCGAACATGCCGTGAAAATCCTACAAGAATAGCGTAGGGGACTTTCTGGCACACTTTGAGTTATTCTAAAGAAATACGATGACATCACGTCTGATTTCTGAATATGAATGAGGTTAGGGCAAAAAACGCTGATAGTTTAACCTTTTCTAATGGAAATATTGCACAGCAAATTGAAATATGTGAACATGGAATAAGTGCTAGGGTAAAAGTTCTGGCGCAGTTTGATCTGTTGTTTCGAACAGATTGCGTAACGTATGGAAATATGACATAATGATTATCTTCGACCGAAGAAATTCATCGTTTGCAGGCAATAGTGCAATAGCCTGAGAAATAATGATGTGGGTAGATAATCCCTGGATAATGGACGAGAATAGGTGGGCACGTGCTACCAGTCTTTTGAACGATTTATTATTGTTAAGGAGCAAATCCGATCAGTATAGCAATTAGGCCTGGCTACATTTCTTATTGCAGTGAAATACTTTAAACAAACGTTTTATTTTGTTACCCTATACATGTACATTATTCTGCAAATCCGAATAGGGCTGAGCGCAACTGTGAGTGAAGTGATTTTTTTATGGAGTAAATACATAATTACATTGTTGAACATAATTATGAAGAACTCTACATCAATACTGAATGATAATCTAATTAGTCAATAAGCGCACGACACAATTCAGTAGACTCCACACACTGGTTCAAATACAGTTTCTTAATTCTCTTTTATTGTCATCTTCTTAATTTTACTATTATCATAACAAATATAACAATTACTACTAGAGTGACTATGTAAGGTATATTATATTTTCATATTTGATTTCAGACACTGCAGCGTACACGTTTCTTATTAGAACCGTAACTCTTTAATCGTTACTATCTTCTAGTTATTTTCTTCTTCGTCATTTAGCTGGAACAGTTTGTCATATTTAACAAAGTGTTTAGGCATGACCCTGTTTAAGGCGTTGCTTACTTCCATGCCTGTGTCGAGTTTTTTCAAGATCATCGACAATGTTTTGATGGGTTTCATTTATATTTCAGATATAAGTATTACACCTGACAGAAACTCCTCGTTGTTGTCGAAAAATAGTTGCTTACATGCCTAAAGGGTCTTCCTTTTCGCCCTTTTTCTGGCTTGATCTTCGTCCATACCCTCGTTGATTACTTGTCACATGTTTTACTCCACATTTCTCTGTTGGATTCTCTGGCCTCTACCAACGAATCTTGGGAGCTGACAATGCCTTCCATCCTTGAACTCTCTGCGGTTGTGGCAAGAGTTTATACAAACTGTCGGCTATGAAACAAAATCCATTTTGAGGTAAAAAAGATGTTTTGAGTGAGCCAAGTGTCAAATTTGCACTACTAGCAAAGAAAATGTCGGTGCTGCAGCAGGTTGTGGAAGTTTCATCACCTCATACAAACAGCAACATAAAAAGGCGTTTTTTGCACACGACGAGCTATGTTTTAGCTTAGTTTTAGTCACTTTGTGAAAATAGCAGTAGGTGTACTTTGCAATAATCTGTCTCAGTCAATACTGTATCTTGATTTCACAAGTCGTCATTAAATTGCATTCTCACTCATTTCGGAGAGAAGGGTCAAATTGTACATGTATTTTGGTTTCACTTCCCCTCCTAGCAGCCTGGTGCAACGTTGATGATTTTCACATATTCTCTCATTAGTTTCTTTAAATGCCCCAGATTTTACATACTTTCATTTCACTTTATTTCATGTCCAATTTTACGTATCGTTAAAAAAGAGAATGCATTAAGAGTTCAGTAACATTTAAAACTACACATAGCAATAGTTCAAATGATTTACAGAGAGAAAAGCTCGTCGAGTGAGGGTCCAGTGAACAGAAAAACCCAGAGTGAGCAGGTTGGACAAATCAAACAAAACCAGAACTACTTTGTTATGACGCATAGAGTACAAGGATAAAGGTGAAATGGTTGATGAGTGTTTATTGACCTGAAGTTAAATTTTGAGGGAATGACAGTAATTCCATTTCCATAGAGGCTCAAAATATCAAAATGATACGGTTTAAAAGAAAATGACATTAAATGGCATACTGAAGCAGTAGCAGAAGCATGAGGGAAAGTAAACAGGACAAAGAAATAAGTTGATGAACTTAACAACAAACTTAGGGATTTTATTAACAAAAACGAAATTGATGATGAAGAAAAAAGCACGAACAAAAAATCCACTCAATATGCAGTATAAAAGCATAAAGTAGTTTTACTGCATGACATTGGCGATGCATGTGAGAAATAAATGCAATGCTAATTATTAAAAGCAGTATTAGAAAAATAATGAATTGTGCAGGGTTTGCTGTTTCAGAGTTTCATAGTTTGTTTCAGAGAAAACAATGTCGGTAGAACTTCAATTCAATTTGAAAGCAGGTGCTGATTCGTATAAACTTCTCTAACAATAACGATTCCCAACCTTTTCAGGATCGTGTTTGTTGACAGAAAATAAAAGATGTTTTCATTTAGTACATTATCCTCATTCCAATATGTCATGCGTTGAAGGGTGTTAAATGGCGTAGACCAGTATTTTGAGTGGTGTGGTAGATCGCATTTAGAAAGAACAAAAAAGCAGTTGTCGTACTTACTCGATATCGTCTCAACAACGCACCATCAGATTTAAATGAAGGCTTCAGCTTTAATCTGATGTCAAATTTACAATTTCTTAGAATTGTTTTGGGAGAAAATAATTGTTACTTTGTTTAGTAGTTACATTGTTTGGGCAAATTTATATGTAAATTACTTCATCATTATTATGCATGTAACGTTTGCACAGAAAGAGTGACGTTTAATACCGTCATGGTCCCCTACTTTGGTCGGTTTCCACTTCAGTTTTGTTACATTGATACGTTTAGATATGGACTTAAAAACATTTTGCTTGAACAAAATATTCAGAGCTTTAGTGCTTTCTAAACTAAGTAAAGTTTGATTAGCGTACTAAAACACGATTTGAGCCAGACCTTTTGTATGACATTACACACCATAAAGACAACAATTTAAAGGCGGTTCTTAACGAATCCAATGAAATCCGAGAAGCTCTGGTCACCAATCGGTGTGCAAGCAATCAGGCAACTGTCATTAGTTCCGAACATGCCGTGAAAACCTCTGAGATAATCCTTCCAAGTGATCGGAACTCCAGCCTTCTCCAGTCGCTTGGCGTACATGATGCCGTCATCCCTCAAGACGTCATACTCAGCAGTCAGGATGTACGCCTCTGGGAGTCCTCTCAGGTCTTCTCGCATGAGAGGAGCGTAGTCTGGATCCAGGAGGACTCCACTGATTTCCTCATAGATGACTTCGTCCCCGAAGTCAGTTGAAGGCGCTTCGTACCCCAACTGCTTGAACTCATCTGGGATCAGATCGTGAGAGAGACATTTTTGGACCAACGGCGACCTCTTAGCGGCAGCTGAGGTGTGGTCATTGCTCATCATTGCATTTTGAACACGTGACCCACCGTTTCTTCCATTAAGGTAGAAGTCCATGAACCATGCCATTAGGACCTTGTTGAGCAATATTGGGTAGTGGCCATTCCGTTGGTAGGATGGTGTCTGAAAGTCAAAAGCCTGTAAAACGGGATAGATCAAGACTTGCAGCTTGACTTTAGGCAGGTCTCGATACTTATGATCAAAGGTAAGTCGTTGTGTTGTTGCTGCAGCCAAGTTTCCGCCTGCGCTATCCCCCATGAGTGCAATTCGTGCAGGGTCGACGTTATACTCATTGAGGTGTTCGAGGAACCACACTGTGGCAGCCGTGCAGTCGTCTATCGCTGCGGGAAACGGATATTTTGGTGCTAATCTGTAGCTATTAGAAAATACACCAATCACTGCAACAGGGTTAAGCTGTTAGAACTTACAAGCTTCGTGTTTCTCATAATTTAATGAAACATATTCCTTTTTTGGAAAATTCCTTATCGCCTTAAAACTTTGTCAATTCGGAACACAAAATTACTGACTTCCTTTAATCCATCTATACTTTAAAGCTTTGAATGCTTTGCCCAACAGACAATCCGCTTATACTGGTCAAAGTAGGTCAAATGAACATCCTCTTCACAATCTAAACTAAAGAACACGCTTGTTATAATATTGTCCTGTACACAAATTCAACAGTGGAATATGTGAAAATATTCATATTTCCCAACTTACTCTACAGATATCACCACAGCATTCAGTTTTCTCGCCAGCTGCGAAGTTAGTGCATGATATGTATCTGTGGAATAAATCAGGTCAAATGTTTTTAAATATAGATATGGGTTTACTGTAATAGGTATCCGACAGGAGCTCAAAACACAGTGATTCAGTTCACTCTATGGCAATCCAGCAGAGGCATGACGTCACGCTGTTTGTCCTCTTTTTGTGTTCCACTTGTAATATAATTAATGTACTAGATTTGTACTGTTATTGTGATTAATGGACTTTATTGTACCAGTATTTAGTATTGTATCATTTTCAGATGAAAGAGGTCCCTACAGCCAAAATCAAGCTGGTTTGCATGATCAGTGCACGCATATGGAGTTTGTGGCAACTACTATGTATTGTCATTGTAGCATGCCAACTATTTGAGCGGAAATTTCTGAAGACTTTTTTTCATGGAACGGAACAAACATGAAATCTTGAGAAAACAACGTCTTGTTGTGTGTGCAGAAAAGTTGATGGAATCAATTTCAACTTTCAGTCACCTGGTTCGAACAGTACAAAACCTCCTCCGTGGTAGTAGACGATGGCAGGCCGTTTGCTGGTCTTCCCGCCTGGTGCATCATCAACAAATATCCGGACTTGTACCCTGTCAAAAACCGCATCTCTATATGGTACACTGGGCCCCCTTGCACGGGCGTGCGTTCTCATCTTTTCGTGAAGCCATTCGTTTAGCCCGGTAGGGAGGAACGGGTCAACATAAACATGCTACAGCAAAGGAGACAAACGTCTATTTAGATAAGCTCTATAGGCCCACAAACTTTGTTTCACATTATTCTAAGTTTTATTTACTGTAAAGACACTGCATGGTCGCACGCTGATAACTATTAGCTTAACATATTTCTGCTGCCGGCAGGTTTAACGGAGAGGTATACATGTATATGAACTGGGAATTTTTACGGCGCCGTAAAAATTCGGTGTGGGAATTGCATGTATGTATAGACTCATTTCACGAGATATACTATATCTCGTGAAATGAGTCTATACATGCATGCGATTCCCAAACCGACGCCTATCATGCAAATGTCATGAAAATGAAATTAAAAACATAAAAACTGATATTCTCAGAAAGCCAATATATTTCTGCATTGCTATAAACAGGAAAAATTATAACAAAATTAGCCCATGGAAATAACGTGCATGAATGCAAAGCTCTTAGCATCCCTTAAAGCACAGTGGCCCTAGCCTCATGTGCCTTTTAAATCCATGCTCAATCGTCAGCACTGTCAACGTAGCCTCCAAAATGCAGTTTCAACTTACCAGCATTAGTTCATACGAAGCTTTTCGGACTTCCCAGGGACTGTCTGCCACGTCATCGGGGAATGGTAGATGAACCAAATATGCCACTATGGCTACCAAAAAGGCCAGAACAAGGCCAGCCAGCACGCCTTTTCCCATGATACTTATACCGTCTTCCTCTTATCGTAATTCAAACTTGGAATAGAACTCCTGTCTTAGAGAAATTGGTGTCACAACTGTATCGATATGTCGTCGGGCGCTAACTTCGCTGATTATTGACAGAAAATGTTGTCCGTGCTAACTTACAGTGCTAACTTACATAGCGCTTGATTGGAGCAGCGTTTTAGGGAAGGGCCGTTGAAATTTGGACCCCACAGAAAACTTTTGTGCGAGAATTGTATGCATCTGTTGATATGCCACACAACACATAGTTAAAGATAATCAATAGGAGGGCGACAAAGGTCATAATGTGCCCAATGTCCTGATTAAGACTTGATCGCTCACGTTTTGGAGTACAGTAGTAGGCCCCTAACGACTGATTTGACGACCACTATTGAAAGTATACGTTCTAACAGAAAGATTGATGCAGAAAATGCACCATATTGTTAAACAGGTATTAAAAATCATTTAAACGTATGCTTGCTCGAGGTACAAACATTTCAGAGTGCTTTTTTTAATCGAGTGCCAAAACGACACGACTGCCTTAGTAGCTCATATCCAATTACTGCCTACACTTGTAAATCATTTGAGCTCAACTTGGGCCAAGGATATGTACGGCCACATCATGGTAACTTTGAATCCTGTGTAACAGACCTTTATATTGTAATGCAAATGTCTGGTGACCTTTTTAGACTCCAGAGGAATGGCAGTGGGGTTGACCAGTGATGCGCTTAATTAGGTTTGGGGTTAGGTCCAGGAGTTTGGAAACCGGGGGCCGTCAAGTATGTCAAGTCAGGGGTATGGAACAAAGGGGTATTGGTGTAACTGTCAGGGATTTGCCAACGTGTTTTCAGTGAGTAAATTATGTTGTGGAAAGTGGGACACTGAACTAATAAGACTGCCATAATGGAAAAAAGGGGGAGAGTTTGACTGTGTCTGGAGTATGATAAAAATTAGTAAATGGAAGAAAGGTTGAAATGGGTATTGTGGACCATTTTCTTGCATCTTTGTGCTAAGATGGTGCTTTTATGACTGTGGAAAACAGGGCCCGGGGAGGGAATTAAATAATGTTAGAATTGGGAAAATTAGTCAGTCTAAGCAGAGCTGCCGAGGAGTTCAGATTGGATCGACTGACACAACTTTGGTACCGGGATTTAGTTAATGTGTTTGACGATTATGACTGAATCGTTAGTTTATCTTGGATTGTGCATAAGGACTGGGTACTGACAGGACGTTTGTAATTAATTCATGTGAGTACATGAACCGGTACTGTACCTTTACTTAATTTTGTGACAGTGTATCTCCGCAAGGCTAGGGGGTGCGCGATGAGTCCTCATGCCCCCTCCTAGCCATTTGTAAATGTTTAACATTAGTTTGTTAGGGTACCTCACGCATTGAGGAAGTGAGTGGAAGTGAATAAACCCGCTAGAAGTAGATGGTATCACACATATCTTTGCCGGGCGTACCATTTCGTTCAGTGTCCCTTGTCCTTGGTGTAACGGGCGGTATATTTCCACCCAAACGGATCCAGACCCTGGCCAAATCACGCGCGAGCGGCGCCGCGACCGGGCTGGATGGCCCGGCGAGCCAAGGGTTCGCGGACTACGGAGGAGAAACCGCCACAATATAATACTTCCAGAAAATTTAGTAACAAAGTTCGAGACTTTTGTGAGGGCTCGGGCAAATTGGCAGGTCCTTGATCCGTACGCTTATTAGCGTGACCACATGAGTTATAGGTTCGTGAGTCACCTGGGCTTCGTAAGTAATTTCACGCAGTGCCTGCCTAAGCTCATTTCATTTCTGCTTCAAGGAATACGCATAATGATGTGTATTGTGTGTCAATTATCAAGAAGTTTTCGGTCTGAATCCCAGAGGGCTACTTTAATGTTTCGATAACGCTATAATGTCGATAATGTCTGGCCAACGCAGTCATAATGCGTTATTACTTTACTTCGCTGCTTGTATTTTACTATTTTTCTAGGAAGGTTCCCTGACAATTTGATAACAGGAAGGAAAACTTACAATTAGCAAGAATAAACGTGATTAAGTGAGTACTTTTGTTTCACAACTTACGAACGAAGAACAGAATTTTCAATTTTACCAAAACAGTTCCCAAATCGTTATTATTTATCATCCTTGGTATAAACTTCATGAAGTGTGCTTTTTAGGAGTTCACTGTGCTTGCTATGTTAGGAATTATTGCATTTTATTCATCACGACAAGCTTTTCAATAATGATCATCAAAACATTGCCCACCATTTCAAAACTCCATACAAAATATTAGAAAAATCGTATACAGCCTTTCGATTTGATTTCTGTCTGCAAGTAATAAAAATGCATTTTTTCAATCAATAATAATAATAATTGAAAACTTATAATGCTCTGTTTCCTTAAAGATGATTAAAAGTGCAATAAGAACAGTACACATTTATCACTACGATCCATGTCGCTAAAATAGTTAAACTATCGCAAAAATATAAAAAAAATAAAAAAATGACCGTGGAACCTGAAACATTTGAGTCTTCACAGCACCAAGAGCATGTGTAGGCAAAATGTGTTTAATAACCCATGATGCAGCATGGCTACCACTGGAAGGGGGTGTATGTAGCAGCGCTCCTGGCCTGTTCTTGCTGTGGACAGGTTGCGCTAAGTTATATAACACATGCTTTTAGCGTTCCTTCGTTTTGAACGTATACACAGTAGGGTCACTTGCACTCCAGCCAATGAAAAGCTTTGCTTGTCAGGCTCCACCCACAGTTACCGCCTATTTTGACCCTCGTCTGCGTTACTCGTTATTGTCGCTGCTTTTAATAAACCCCATAACTATACGTGAGTGAAGTAAGGACCCGGTTTAGCGCATAGATTCTTACATGGATCACGCATCATGCATAACACTGTAGTCGCCATTTGAAGTGAAAGATTGTTCAAAGGAGATGTTTTGCCGTGAAAATAATTTTTGCGCTTATTTTAATGCGCAGCATTCAGGTGATTGCTAACATGTAAAAGGAAAGCCACACTTGTCATTACCTCTGGTTTCTTAACCGTGGGGAAAAACATGAAATAGAATTCAAACATTGCAACATTGCGCGGATGACTCTGCGAAGTGATCAACACACCCCGAATGAATTGTAAACCTCACAAATATAATCATTGATAAAGCATAATATAGGCCTATCAGCATTACGTAATCACGACTTGAACCTCTTAACTTATGTTTGACCTGAAGTTGAAAATTAGCCGGATAGAAACATAAACGAAGTTGTATGATCCCTCCACCATTCACCGGTGATAACGTTATTCAGCCAACGACTCGTTGAAAAATTCTTCACAATCCGCTTTTATTTTTTTGCTCACACAAAGTGGTGATGATGATTCAATAGCCGATCCTGCCACCTCAAAAAGTGTAGGGGGATATATACCTCATTCCCCGGGATTTACGCCCATGGTCACACGGTGGGGGGGGGTAATTCATCTGTTCAGAGCTCGACTGTCCCATGTCCGACATCGTATAAACGTGGCAGGTACATGTGTGTAGAAACCGTCATGTTCAATATTAAGTCGAAATTTGAACTCAGTCTTAAATCAAAGTTACTGTTTGTTTTTACGGCCTATGGAAGCTCAAGACCACACGCGTGCATTAAGCATGCCAGTAAAAGTTACATTTTTGACTAACCTGTCTTGGAAAACCAGCGCAAGAGAGGAACATCAGATTTTCACAGATATGGTGACAAAATGACATAAAAGAAGTGCACTATAGGGCGCTACTGCCAATGGGAGCAAAATAGTGAGAGGGATGAATTCCGCTCCCAGCACTTGAATGGTTGTTCCTCTAGCAAAGGTTTACGAGACTGGACGCTGCTATGGACGCTGCGTACGGCCCCGGCCAAAGGAGAGGGACATCATTGACGTGCATTCTAACACTCTTCTGTGTCAGCCTTAGACGTTTAAGCACATATTTATAGCTGTTAATGAATATCTACAGAGCTAAGAGCCGAATTTAACATGTAACTAAATATTTTAAATGATTTTAAAGCAATTTGCTGGATTTTTCACTTTCCCCTCTGACCACATATAAAGCAAAATATGAGACGGAGACCCCCCTGCTTCGTGTTGGTCATTGTTTGACGGGAATCTGAGGAATTCTTTTTAGACACTTAAGGGGGATATATTAGGTAACAGTAGTCTATAGTGTTTAAGGCGATTGGACATGTTGGGGTACCTATCTGTCTCATTTATTGCTCGATATATCTGACCATTATATTCAGTTTGTGCTTCCTCCGAGTCAGCTTTATCAACTGTGATCGCCCACCCAACGAGCTGCTGCATCACGAAAAATTCAAGAAGCGAACAATTTGAATAATAAGAGTAAGGCTGGGGACAGTCAGATAGGCGGTAACTGTGGGTGGAGCATGATAAGCAAAATTTTCCATTGGCTGGAACGTAAATGACTATCCTGTGTACGTTCAAAACACCAGGAAGACAATACATGCAGAGTCGGACGAAGCTTTCATTTTCCTTGCTGACTTTGCAGTTTATTGCCTGTGTTTATATATGTTTATGAAAACTCTAGCAAGAAATGACACAGCAGGAAGCAAGATCTGTGAGTCTTTACGTCCAGCGGCAGTGTATTTGTCTCGAATAAATTTTAATAGCTTATTGGGTATTTTCCTAGAACTAGCCCTACAAGACCTATGAAATCGACTCAAAGTTACTTTTGCTGCTACAAACGGAACCTTATATTAAGAGTCAAACATAATCATTTAAAGGCTGGTTCATACTTCACGCAAAAGCGAACCCGAAAGCAACTTTTTGTCATATCAGATCGAGTATTCGCGCTACGAATTCGCAACAGTTCATCACATTTCAACTCGATCGAAATATCGCTGCAAATATTTCACGGTGTCAAATTCGCTTTGCTTACATGTTCAGATGTGGTATGAACTGGCCTCAAGGCAGTGTCTCAAAATAACTAGTCTTTATAGTGTGACATGAAAGCCTTGTCAACAAATTTAATCAAAAGTAATGTATGATAACAAGACTACATGAACTGTATCGGCTCCTCTCAAGTTTATGCAGACACTCCTAAAGCAACTTATAGACAACTAATAGATAACCGTTCAGAGACGTTTCTTTGCAAATGCAATGAAATCCCAGAAGCTCTGATCCCCCATCGGTGTACAAGCCATGAAACAACTGTCGCCAGTGCCAAACATGCCGTGAAAACCTCGAAGATAATCCTTCAAGGTCACAGGCACTCCTGCCTTCTCCAGTCGCTTGGCGTACATGATGCCGTCATCCCTCAAGACGTCATACTCGGCAGTCAGGATGTACGCCTCTGGGAGTCCTCTCAGGTCTTCTTGCATAAGAGGAGCGAAGTCTGGATTCCAAAGAGCACCTTTGATCTCGTCGTAGACGTCTTCGTCCCCGAAGTTAGTTGAAGGCGCTTCGTACCCAGATTGCTTGAACTCATCTGGGACCAGGTCGTGAGAGAGACACCTTTGGACTAGTGGGGTTCTCTTGGCGGCAGCTGAGGTGTGGCTGTTGATCTGCATTGCATCTTGAACACGTGGCCCACCCTTTCTACCGTTTATGTAGAGGTCAATCATCCATGTCATCAAGACTTTATTGAGCAATGTTGGGTAGTGACCATTCCATTGGTAGGATGGTGTCTGAAAGTCAAAGCCTTGTAAAACTGGATAGATCAAGACTTGGAGCTTGACCTTAGGCAGGTCTCGATACCTCTGATCAAAGGTAAGTCGTTGTGCTGTTGCTGCAGCCAGGTTTCCGCCAGCGCTGTCACCCATGATGGCAACTCTTGCAGGGTCGACGTTGTAGTCACTGAGGTGTTCGAGGAACCAAACGGCAGCAGCCGTGCAGTCGTCTATTGCTGCGGGAAAGGGGTGTTTTGGCGCTAATCTGTAACTGTAATAAAATACGATATCATCATATCAATGAGGGTTGAGATGATAGTAATGAAATACGTTCTAGCATTCTTAAAAGGACATATTACATTGAAGGCGCTGTAATGTTTAAAAATATTTTCAATGGGCAAGTTTGAGAATTTGAGCCCCCCAAGATTAAGAAGTTACTTTTGGGCTGAAATTACATCAAAGCAGTGTCATTTGTCAGGAAAAGCGTGAAAATTTACAAATATTTAATATGAGGTTTGACCCAAAAGGTACCAGATGGTTTTCAAGTATTTAAAAAAGTGAAAATTACGTAAACGTGTACCTTAGAAAAACACCATCGCATGAAACATTTTAAAAGTGCACCTGTCCACGGTATGCCAATGAGAGTGGACACACGTTTTGGAATTGTACTGTTGACTAAAGACATGATAACATATCTTTAAAGATATCTCTTAGTCTTTAAACATCAATAACTTGGTTTTATAAATTCAGAAATGTTATGTAGAATAACACCCACTAACTTACTCCACAGATATAAACACAGCCTTCAGCTCTCTTGCTATCTGCGACGCTAGTGCATGGTGTGAATCTGTTGAATGAAAAAGTGTTAGGAGCCTGACTAATTACAACTTTACGAAATTGGAAAAAAAGTTTTAAGAATATCATTTTCAAATGTAACTCCAACGCGAGAAAACGCCACTTGAGACAACGATGAAAACCTCAAATATTACTTCATGCGTAGGCATAAAGGTAAAATTTCTACATGTGTGTTGGCATCAAACCTGTATTTTATTTTGATTGATTCTTGTTTTTTACATCATTATGAACAGATACTCGTGTCAAAAGTGGTATGCCAAAAATCCGAAAAAGTCTTATGTTTAAGGTAACTTAACTTGATCAAACGGAACAAAAAAGATCCTGAAATGAGAAGGGAAAGAGAAAGCAATGCTTCCGAGTTGTGTTTCTAAGTCTCACCAGGACTGCCCCATATGAACCCTCCGCCGTGGTAGAGAACGATAGCTGGCTGTTTACTGGTCTCTCCTCCCGCTTGCTCATCGGTAAATATCCGGACTGGTACCCGGTCAAACACCGTGTCTCTGTACGGCACACCAGGCCCGCCTCCCCGGAGGTTCGCCGCGGTCCTTTCATCTAGCCATTCCACGATTCCGGTAGGTATAAATGGGGTGCCATTAATACCCTAAATGTTAAAAGGAAAATATGTTCAAACCAGTACTCAGAGACAATACTATATGGGGCAAATATATATTTTGCTAGAGGAAAGCGTTTCACAACGGATATTGCCTCTAAGCATGACACCAAGAATTTTGAAAATGCATTTCTGGTAAAAGGCTTCATAACGCAATTTCAACTTACTAGCATCAGTTTATACGAAGATATTCGGACTGCCCATGGGCTATCAGCAACGTCGTCAGGGAATGGTAGGTAAGCCAAGTATGCGGCAATGCCCACCACAGAGGCGAGAACTACACCGGTAAATATACTTTTAGCCATGATGTAGCTTGAGAGTGTGTTGTAAACGTCATGCAGGTTTGTTGCAATTCTCTGTGTTTGTATCGCTTGGTGCTACACAGAAGTTTGCTTGGTTGCGTTTGTGACGAGATTCAACGGCAAAGGTCTTTGAAAAAATTTAGAAACTGTTCACCTTCCTCGAGATCTTTGCAAAAGGTCTCATGCTGCCCTGTTGCAGGGCGACAATTCACGAAAGGGCGTTGAAATTTGAACCCTGCATGAGGAATAAGTCTGGCGTCGATTGCGGTGGGCATTTGTCAATACGCAAAACAATGAGTTCCCACAGATAATCATCGTGAGGGTTAAGAAGAGGTCTGCTGGCAGACGAACCTCAGTGTACACGACCCAGTCAATCATCGACCGGGTGCTGAGACTACGCGTGGGTCGTATCTGCTCGGGCGTCGCACTGTACACTGCCCAAACAGATTTTTTTCAATGAAAAGCCATTTTATAGGTTGGGTAAATAATTTACTCCCCCAGTTCTGGACCCCCAAAATTTAGTTCTGGATCCGACTTTGAGTATATCACATTCGTTTGCACACGTTAACCGTTATGGATTCAACCACAACACTCGAGACAAATAATAATCTGGCATCTAGTGGTTTCAGATTAAACAAAAGCATCACTTTTCAAAGTTGTAGCCGTGGATCATACAGCGAAGCCGAACAAAGTGTACATTGGACAAAAATAATATAAACATAGGAAAACAGTTTAAAGATCGAAGTCAAGTGCGGAATCCGTGATCTCACGTACGCCATAAATGTCAATAGATCTATCGCAGCCTTTATAATGAAGCCGTTTCAAAGAATCACAGAAAATAAACACAGCAGTTAATATAAGAGGTGTGGTCAAAAAGGGAAAATTTTGAGGAAAAAAAATAGTATTTACAAACCTTTCCTAATGGGGGATGATGGCCTGCCGTTCTTGGGGAAAAGAAGTCAAACGTTTGACCCGGAATGGATTTTTTTCATTTTATTCAAGGGGAAATAAGGGGTCAATCTTAAGACCATAACACAAAATCACACAAACTCTGAAAACAAGCTCGTCTACTTAACGTGTCAGAATCACCACTAAAGTGAGGTATTAAAAGATATATTATTTGATAAAACCTACATGTTCTCGATGCAAAGGTTCGATTTTAGATGACAGAGTTGATGACAGCGTCTTCACTGTAAAACCAAACGCCCATTATAAACGTTAATTGCGTTAACTGCGTTAATTGTAAACTTTAATTAATAAACACGTTGTTGGAAATAAATGTGTTTCGGTTGCAGAAAGTTTTACCACCCAATAACCCGTGTTTAAGTTTGCGTGGTTGTAGATGTGACGAGATTGGCAGCAAAGGTCGTTGACAAAGTTTGGAGACCCCGTCCCAAAAGAGGTCTTGGGTTATAATTTCAAATTTCATTTTATTTATGACTGTGTTTTTCCTTTTGAATACTGTAACTGTTCTTTCCTGAGCTTTTGACCATTTGGGTGGGTACCCACCCACCCAGCCACCCACCCACCCACTTGCTCTCCTTGACCGAGCTTTGGGCTGATCTACTGAGGTTTTGTCAGACGCGAGATTCAGGGGGCTACAGAAACTTCAACAGATGGTGGACCGATTAATGTTGCTATTTCAATAATTTAAAGTGGATATCTGATGGAACCTTTCTTTTTTATGATTGATGTGATGATCCCAGAGTCACTTGATTGACTTATTAAGTATAATTGAGTTTTTATGACTTAATCACAGACCTGTAAATAATTAAATAATTCTGTAAGAAGTTAACTTTCTAATACCATATCGAGCTCGTGTTGTAAATATTGGAATACAGAATATTGGAATTCCAGAAGACCGTTTTATCTTGTTATTTCTTTTAATTGTCGGTGCATCCTCAAGGATCCGGGGTTGCCATTCCTAATTGTGAATAGTCAAATGTCGGAGTGGTGACACCATGAGGGTTTAATTGGAAAGAGTGTATTTGTTTAGAATTCTAGAACCACCATTGCATTTTTAGTACTACGTGTATAATAGACAATATGATTATGGAGAAGTCCGTACTCTTAATTGAGGAACAGGGGAGGACCATTCTCGCATTTTTTTAGTACATATTATAGGCCTAAGGACTGAAAAAGTGACCGAGTTGAGTGTCGCTCTTGAACTAATAAATGGATTATTTTTGTTTGTTTTTTGCCTTTTTGGCTTTGTTCACAGAGGAGGAGTACTGTTTCTTTTATTTGGAAGACGTTATAGACAGCTCTTTTCTCTTCTGTGAAAGCTTGGTGGCTCTGAAAAGAGCCTTTGGTTTGTGGTGAGCAAAGAACTACTCATTGTCGCCCGTCCCGTATAGCTGGAAACAAATCCTTTTTTGCTCCTCACACTCGACGATGATGATTAAGACTTGGCCTGCCGCAGCTCCATAGGCCCACCGTTCTCTACTCGAGCATCCTTCAGGCCTAACCCCGCTATCCCTGCAGGAACCAGTTGGGTCTCAATCAAAGTGAATTTTGAGTGGTATTCCTTTAACGTTCAGTGTCCCAGTTCCATCGAAAACTCCGCCATTTTTTTACTTTGAGGCAGTCAGGAGCCTTGCCCCGCATGAGGTCTTCCTCTAGATTAAAGGCCCGTTTCCGAACCTGATTTCTCAGGCCGGCAAATGGACAGCTTCTCTTTTGACCTGGTGTAGTACCTATGGTAGGCCTGGGGTGAGCCTGGTGTGCTTTTATATTGTCTTGCTTTTTTCTGAACGGGTTGTTGAGGAATGGCTGGTGCTGTCCGCAGAGTATGCAGTCATCCACAGCAGGAGATCTCGAGTTTTTCCCCTCATGATTTCCTAAGCCCAGGCCAGGTAGACAGACCAGTTCCTCGTTAACCATCTCATCATGTTCAGAGCTTGCCCGGAAATATGGGGCTTATACTCAAGCTATCGTACTTACGATGCCCTGCCAAGTAAGGCTCCAACGATAAGACAAAAGAAGTTCAGCTCGTATAGGTGAATGATCATGGGATGCGCAGCCGTGAGAGTTTTATCATTTTACAGGTCTCCTGCTCTGCGTGGGGTATGCCTATACGTTTTTACAAACACATTGACTTTAATAAAATTAATCACTAACGTTGAATTGATCTTACGAAGTTTTACAACCATATTATCTAGTTTTGATCGCTTTAATTGGAACACAAACACCGCACTTAGTGCAAATCCTGTAAGCATGTTATGTTGTCTGTAAGCCCGGGATATATAGCAGATTGAGTGACCAACGATGTTTGGTAGATCTGGCAGATGATACTAATTGGGGTGGACTTGCCAACTGGCAGTATTCACAGATTGGGCGGTTGTCAAGATACACAGTGAAATCCTGTTTGGGTTGCGACTAGGTTTTTAAAAGAGACATATACGTCATGATGAGGACAACCATGAAATTTCGATTTAATCCAACATAGTTGTCGTCCCTGGCCTCACGTTACACGGGTCAACCCTAGTAAATTATTGAGCACATCAATAGGAAAAGCTGCCATGTTTATACCATGATATACATTTATTTTCCAAATTTCCTTATTCCAAATACGGTCTGAAGATCCTCCCTCGCCATAGTACTGGTAGAAGAGAAAAACTGAATTGAAAAACCAGCTGCTCTCAGTGTCTGTGAACATACAAAAGCAATATCTAGTATCCCAAACGTTGCTTCCAAACGCAGGTACATACAAGACACTTTTATACAGACCGAAACTCTTAAAATTGTTTTGAATTATAAAGTGGATAATAATTATCTTCTAACAGGAAAAGGTCTTGGAAAAGCTCTGGTGGGGAACGTTGCCGAGATGGGTGGAGGTGAGATGTGTCTCTACTCTAAGCACGTGCATACATATTAGGCCATGTACAAAATATGCTTTCTTGTGCAGCGGTTTCGGTTTCGGTTTTTTTTTAGTTTGAGTTGAGGTTTCGGTTCTGTGGCTTCCAAACGACTTAAAACCTGGTTTCTTTTTCGTAATTAAAAGCATTTGACTTTGTTTTGCATCCTTCAAAATGAATGAATGTGCTTTACGTTTCATTTGAAAGGTTACAAGTAGGTGTATGGGATCTTGGTTTGACGTATTCGTTGCCAGTTACAACAAATGTGAAATCTTATTCGCTGAAAATCTGTCTTACACCATGACGCTTCGGTATTGCGTATTCACTGTCATGTGATTCAAATTCGCAACACACGCGTTCAATTGCAAAGTATTGTGGCGAAACAGGGTAGCTGCGCAGACTTGTGTTTAGTCTGGGTCATTAATAATTCAGGAGCGTCTTAATCATGCATTAAACATGCATGCGGCAACCAATCAGAGGCGCGCATTACCTTAGGTCTGGGCGCTGGCTTCGTGGGTTGCCGGGACTTCTCAAGATGGCAGCGTGCTTACCAGAGCTCTGTGGAGTTGTGTTTCGAGAGTAAATCTGACGTACGACCGCTGGTGGTTGGGGATCTACCTCAAGTGTACCTGGTGCGATCGGTTAGTATGGTGCTTGTTCTCAGTTGCCGGAGCTGCCGATTATATCAGATCTCTTTGAAGATTGGGAATCGTTAGACAGTCTCGTTTATTAAAGAAGCGGTAGATTATAGGGTTAGGGAACCCGGGGAATTAGCGAAGCTTAGACTAGACGGATTGTGTGCCGTTGTTCCATGCTTGTTGGCATAGCGACGGTTGGTTGCGGTCCTGGTCTGGGAGCTTGCTTTCCTCGTTGAGGTTTACTGGGTGCAGGTTTCCGTTAGAGTCTGGTGAGGACTATTATAATCGCCTTCTTAATCAACTTACCTGTGTTATTTCATAATAACTTGAAGTGGGTGAGGGTTATTTAAGTCACCTGAAACCTTGTTGCAGTTTGGGAACTGTGTTGCTTTGTAAGGCAGTACAGATTATTCTTGTATAAGTCTACCCTGTTGTGTTGTACAGTTACGAAGATTGTAATTGCTTGTGTGGTCAAGACTTATCAGTTATAAGCCATCAGTAGATTATTTATTTAAACTTGAGGGTTACCCTGATCATTGTGAGGGTTACCTGGTTATTGTAAGGGTTACCCTGATCACTTTGAGGGTTACTTGGTTATTGTGAAGGTTACCCTGATCGCTGTGAGGTTTACCCTGATCACCGTGAGGGTTATTCTGGTGTAGGTTAAGGATAAGGCTGATTAATCACGTTTGTGGTGCAGTTGACCACGTAGGACTATCTCCCCGTGAGGATAATTTTCTATATAATTAATTGCTGTTGTATATAAAGGATAACTGAGCACTGACATTGAATAAACCAATCATATAATTGCCTTAGAAATCACTGGTCACCGTGAGATTTAGTCAGTCCTGTATCACTTATATTGACATTAACTGTAATCTTTATTGATATTGGGATCAATTACCTAATCACAGAGCGGTGGTAAACTTCCACCAAACGAACAGCCCCTAAGGCAAAGTCCACCGTTCCTTAACTGATATCCCCCCTTGCGTCAGGATAGCCGCTCATTCTTACGTAAGGTTAATAAATATATTTGTGGGGTAGGCCAGGTCAATTCTATCTCCGATCCGGCCAGTCTGCTGGTCCGCCACAAAAAGGTGTCAGTTGTCCCGCCACAGTATATACAGGGTTTCACAAATCATGACACCGCTTTGATAATGAATGTAATGTTACTCATGAAGGATTATAGTGTGCCTATTACCAAACTGTTAAGGTCTTCATGATTTCTTTCCGTGTCTCCTAGTTTAGCCACCGCAAGAAAGCCCGTGTGAACTTGTACGTCGCTGTATGATGCAATTGTGACGAAAACGTTGCATAGGAATGTTCCCTCATCGTCGGTGTTAATAGGATTCGTACTATGTTAATTCGTTTCCAAAGAATACATAAATGGTTATTTACATCATGAATATTAAAACACTTAATCATTCAAGTACATGACATGAATTGTAAACACTTTAATAAAGAATGTAACTTCTGTTAGCATAAAAACAAATTCCAATTTTTGACCAGGCATAATTACCTTGAGTAACGCTTCACACGAAATTGCCTGCACGTTTTGAGTTGAAAATAACACGAATACAGGACTGCAGAGGGGCATTCGTTTTTGACCAGTGCAGTATCGGAAATTGATACAGACTGAATGTACCCTCATTGAAATACAATTAATTTTGCATTTGTTAAAAAGGAAACAGAGAATTGAATGCTCGTTCTATTTCGCTCGAAAACGAACGCTGCATTTACTAATTCATTGCGCATTTTCTGGAATTTTTCTGTCAGAAAACCCCAACTGTAGCAGATAGGTGCAGTTTCTGAAAGGTTACATGTAAGGAATTCTCACGCAGCACAAGTAAAAAGATTCTGATTTGCACCCCATTCGTCAAAGGTCACTCCATTCGTCAAAGGTCAACGACAAAAGTATCAAGACAAAGAATGGTTTTGGAGTTTATCGATTGTTGTTGACTTTTTTGGTATTCTGGTTGAGTTTAATCTGAGTATACTCAGAAGTAGTATCAATTTTTTGTCAATTGTAGTTGGCATTATACAGGGTATTTCTGTACCTTTTTTCATTGCTAAAATTGTGTATGCCATTCTAAGCAGAAACCATAATCTTTCATTAATTTCGTTCGTCAGTTGGAATATCTTGCTCTGTTGCTCTGCGACTTCGACAAACGCTTTATGAACATCTACAACATTTGAATCGAGTTATTTTGTACATTCCACTATTGGAGTATTTGTATACTGCTTTGGTTGCCTGGCATCAAACTTTGGGATTTGCACCAAACTTTAGGATTTTGAATCAAACTTTGGGATTTGTATGTCTACTTTAGGATTTGCATCAAATTTTGGGATTTGCACGTCTACTTTGGTTGCCTGACATCAAACTTTGGGATTTGTATGTCTCCTTTAGAATTTGCATCAAGATTTGGGGTTTGCACGTTTAATTTGGTTGCCTGGCATCAAACTTTCGGATTTACATGTCTACTTTGGGGCTTGCACCAGACTTTGGTGATTTTGGTTGCCGTTCACTAAATCCATCTCTAAAATAAAAAAAGACCTCTTTCGCTGCAACAGCAAAAAGGGGTCTCGATTGGTTTTTGGTTTGGTCTCGCGCCTAGTACATTTGGTTTCTCAATCAACCAATCGTGGAATCTGTGGTGGTGTGGCTGTGGTGGTGTGGTAGACTTCTGACACTTGTTTTCTAAATGGAATTGCATTTTGTTTTCTTTCATAGTATGTTTATTTGGTTGCAAAAGTAGAAACTATTTAGATTTTACTTGGTTAGATTGCTTTCCTACTGATGGTGAAACGTGTCTTTCTATCTATTTTACCAAAAATCAACCTTTTTGTCTGACTCGAGATATTTTGTCCGACTCCAGAGGTTTTGTTCGATTCTAGAAGTTTTTTCGGACTCGAGAGGTTTTGTCAAACTCTAGACTGAGGTTTTGTCCAACAAATTGTCTGGGTTTTTGTCGCATTTTGGTTTGTCAATAAATTCAACCCCTATTCCAAAACTGGAACAGGGGTTGTCGGTTTCTCCCAAACCGAGATGTCTGGCAAATAGATACTTTGGAACTTGGAGTGAGCTTTGGAGTTGATAGGAACGAGGCAGCTTTTGGGGGTTGATAGTAACGAGGCAGAGAGCCTTGAAGAGGTCGAGCAACTGAGGAAATATGAAGCAACCGAAGGGAACCGATTGGAGGGGATATGGGAGCGAGCTTTGATTGTTGATAGGAAAATAGAATACAAAAATGATCCAGTGGGGTCTTTTGGATTTTAAGGTTTTTTTTTTCTGACTCGAAATCTTGGTTTGGTGACTGTGATATAAATGTGTGATGATATTTTTCAATTTTGTCAACGAGAGCTAGAGTTTAAACTACCCTGCACGCCCGCGAGACCTTGATCTCTGGTTGTTCCCCGCGCGCCCAGATAACCTTTGTCTCCCGCGTCACCCTTTGGTCCTTGCGCGGTTCTCATAGGGTTTGTGTGAGATTTTTTTCAATTTTTAGGGTTGGGTGGGTACCTGAGGGAAAAAGTGGTCCAGAACTCTCCATTTCCCACTACTTGTGTTCTGTATTTAGAATTCAAATTGTTATTTTCACGTGAATTTAAAGAACTAAGTGTACCAGATTTTATTCAAATTTAAATCGCAAAGGGCTTTTGGGATTTGTGAATCAAAAAGATTTGTAGACATTTTGAAATGCAAATATTGTTTTAAATACTTTGATCACATTTTGTCAGTTTATTAAATCCAGAAGAAATCTGATGCTAATGTATCAATCCAATGTAGTAAAAATACTTAGGTTAAATTGGTAAAAATATCCACAATAAAGTCATGCTTACATTTTACGCAATTCAGATGGTAGTGTCCACCCATTTGCTTTCCAAAAAATATCCTCAAGACAGATTTCCTATACATGAAAATAACTTGCAATTTGAAACTCTGTAAGCGTACAGCCAATAGGTCTACTGGCGGTACTGAGGGTTTGCATGGCTGCCATCTTGCAGGTCAGTGTGTCTGTTCCAGAGGTTATGTATAAAAAGGTGGTCTTCCTTGTGGAACAAAAGAACTGCCCGGCAAAATGGTTTCAACGCAAAGCCTCTTTATCAATTATCATATGTGACTTGCTGTGGCTAAATGAGGGGTGTCCCTAAGGAAATTGAAATCTTGCCATCACCTACTGAAGTGAAACACACAGAAATATTTCATTCGTGATGATCGATTGTGGTATTTCAATCATTCGGAGAGCTAAGTACAAAAGATCCCACTGATTTGTTTTATTTTTAACAGAATGGTGAATAAAGATGGTAGCGTTTGGGCATGAGGGACATTTGTCTTTTCATTTTCCTCAAGTTAAAAGTGTTAACTTTTTCAAGAATGAAATTTGTCCATATTCCGAGCACGTTATCAAGCTGTTTGGTTTTTGTTGTTGCCTGAAGTCTAATACCGCTGGAATGGGTTTTCCTGTAGTGCCTATTTATGGCAGTGACATGATTGAGTGAAGGACCACTAATTTTCCCAAAGCCTCAAAAAGGAGATCAGTAAATAGCCTGTGCTACCATTAACAAACTGCTGATTCCACAAAGTGGAATGTATCAATGGCATAGCTGTAAGCTCACTGCCTTCTGTCTTGTAGTTCATAAAAACAGACACTAGTCCAGGTCAGTTCGAAACCTTGACTTATTTTTGGATAATGCCAACGTACGTCTAGTCCGCCGCAAGCACCACTATAGTACTGAAGAACCTCAAGTTTTGCCTTAATTTTGAGAATGACGCACCTAATATCGCCCGTTATTTGCATTAAATCGTTTTTGCTATTATTTTCTTATCTAAGCGGGATTTTTGATGCTCTGTACACAGACTTCACAATCGTGATTTTCCCTGTGCATGCGAGACTGCTGTATCTAAGCCGCTCTCCTTTCGTGCTGTTTTATACCAAAAAGGATTTGATGGGACTTTCTGAAGAAAAAAAATGAACAAAGCCAGAAAACCTGAGAGAAAATGATCAAAATCGTTGGAGGAAGTGAATGTGGAAAGCTTTGAGCTGTTTAATGTGAACCCTGTACAAAGTCCAAGTCTCGATGCCAGATAAAAGGATTGAGAGGCAGATAGATGTATAAACTGAGACTGATCAGGCCCCTTTTCAGGAAAACATGATCCCGTAGACCACCAATTGAATTTCTTCATCAATCGAGCCCAAGGAATAGAAAATAAAGCTGAGGTAGTGACACAATCCTCGGATCTCGGGGGCTGGCAGAGGACTTCAGCGTTACGAATGTTGGTGAATAGGCCGCGGGCGTGAGAGGCATGCATAGTATGAAGGTTGTGTTGCAGGGATTCCTTAACGAGAGTTAGGAAAGATGAATCGTCAGTATATTGACGGTCAAAGCTTGTTCCAGAGCAGATTTTATAGTGGCCTCCAGTCGTCGCAAGTTGAATATGCTGCCGTCCAGCCGGTTGCAAAACCTGACAACATCGCTGATCTGGAGGTCTTGCCAGGAGAAGGGGGTTACTCCAGCGAACTACAGGTTAAAATAACAAAGACGCCACCAGCTGACACACATGTATTGTTGTAGATATATTTCAGCACAGCGAACTTTGGTGGGCATACACAGCAAGAATCCTCCATAGAATCTCCCTATTCACTGTGCCGAATGCTTTTATACTAAACCCCGATGCTGCTTCCGGCACTTCTCTTGCAGCCGCGGTCGCGTCAAAGAAATCATATTGGTGGTACCGCGACCCTTGAACATACCACACTAGCACTTACGAAGAACAACATCGACAACGGTATGGACAACGCGGTACAGAGAAGAAATAAGGCAAGAATCAGCGATAGATTCCGCAGTCTACCTAGAAAAGAATAAAAATGCTGGCATCTTTCAAATGCCAGAGTACAATACCCGACGCCCAAGTGAACTGTCTGGGCCAGCAACCTTGTTTCTCTTGAGGATCTTTGAGGAAGGAAACATTTCAAGCTCAAATATGGGTTGCAAAGTCGGGAGATCTGTAAAAGCAGCGACACATGGGTTGACGCGGTTCGGAGTTCGCTGAGGTGTTCTACCCAGCGGGAAACAACACCAAGGTGGTCCTTAATGAGGGTTGTACCATCCGCAGTTTTGACAGGATAGGACATGAACAATGGCTCTGCCGCACTTATAAAAATGTTCCAAGTCGTTGATATCGTTGATTGGATTTCTGCAGCTTTGCAAGGCAACCAGTTGCGAAGGTTGCTGGCTTGGCTGAGGTACCGTTTCTCCTGGTCGTCTATGACCATCTGATCTGCACCACCATACGTGCAAAACTGAATAGATGCTTCAGGCTCCACTAAAAGCCTGCTACCGTGACCAGTTCACCCGTCGCCGCGGATCCAAGAGACGCAGAAGGCCACTGCCAATGGACTAGTAACCGGCGGAAGAGATTTGAGAGATGAAGTGCCAACGCATTCCGGAAGCCTCACTGTCTTCGCAGGCTTTGAACATACAGCCAGTCTCTTTTAAACAGATTTTAAGTTGCTGGCGTTTTTTCCCACCGTCCTATATGCACATATCAAGCCTCAAAATAGCAAACCCATTACTTTTGACCTCGTATAGGCTACGTCTGCTACAGCGTTCTACACTTAGTATGTAAGATCGGCCTGCCCGATCGCGCTTGCTATTACTTTCTCAACAGAAAATAAATATTCATAACACAGCGGTTTTTTTTCATTTTAAGTTATGGTGTTTAATTGCAAAATATCTTCCCATGCCGTTCATTTGTCCTGTTGTTCATATGCTCTTGTCTCAAATATCCAGTTTGTTAATGTCTACATGTAGGGTTTTGTTTTACTTTGCCCAACGGTAATATCTAATGGTGAAAGTCTCATTGTTGTACTGGGGTCCATTACTCGACCAGTTCTGCTTCTTGCAAAAACATTAGTATGCATGAATGTACAGTCCCATGTGAATGAGCGGAAGTATAGTAAATTTTGAATTGAAGAATAGCAAACAGCTTACGCCTTTTAAAAATCGTTTTAAACATGTGCTGCAGTATAAACTTGTACGTGTGTAATACTGAATTGTGTACAAAGAAGGGACTCGCGCGTGCAGAAGTGAAGGAGGTACCCGTACTTTCTTTCAAACTTACTTTAATATATTCTTATATTTACATACAATGACTGAGGTATTGCTATAGGAGCCACCAGTGCCTTGGGTTTGCAACCTTACAGTTAAAATGCAGCATGTCTACATGTAGTCAAATTACATGTATTATGCTGGATGCCACGTGCACTCTCCTGGTCCTGGAACCAATGAATGTACATGCTATAACTAACTTCTGACAGTCGTTCATCAGTAATCAACTCATGCTGGTCTGAGTTGCCAGTTATCAACAAGACCAGTCCAAAAATCATTGATTAACCGTGCTTTGGTTTTACAGCACAAATGTGCACAAGTGCCCACAGTCACTGGTGAGCATGTAGTTTCTATATGGAACTAAAACATGCACAGGTTCAGTGGGTACACAGTAGATTGCCAGCACAAAATGACCCAGGGTCTTTTGTGCAGTCCTCTTCACTGCATTTGGTTTACTGCACAATTATGCACATGAAATAGTGAAGCACAGTTGTTGGGTAGCACAAAAGTGCAATCTGATATTCCTGTGAGGGACCGTTGGTGCAGTGCACAACACAACACAGCTGTGCTTCTTTGAGGTGTTTACCAACTGACCCAAAGAGTGACTACAACATAGGAGGGTTAATCTTGATTTACTTGCTCCAAGGTAATGAGACCGTCACCACTCTTCCACCAGCAGGTTGTGGCACCATAGGATTGGAGCCACCTTAACAGGGACATCAACAAAGCCACTGGATGTTGTTGGTTTCCAGATTTGTCAACGAGTTGGCGACGTGTGAAAAGTTCTCCCCTCGTAACCCCATGACTCGCCAGCCATCCGTCGCAGTCATGTCAACAGCATCGAGCCGGTTGTAGAACTGCCGGGCACTGTTGTTGGAGTCTTGAACAACCCACTGCATGCCCTTGCAGCCCTTTTCTGACCCAATCTGCAGAAAATTAACCAAACGGGTTCAGATATGACTCTAAAATTTAAGAAATCATGCAGCAAAGAACATCTCAAGAATTCTCAGGCAAACACAGAAACACATCAAGAAGTGTCTCAAATCACAAAAGGCTGTTTTGTATTTGGAATGTAAGGTGTTTTGAGCTACACTGTATTGCTGTATTTCCTGGAACTTATAAGAGGGGCTGGTACATAATCACATCCACGTATATGCGGTATATATGCAACTCGTGCAGTGTACCAAGGAAGGGAACACATAGGTTTCAGTTGTAGAACATGCAGTAAAAGTTCCTGACAAAGTTCATACTTCGCTTTCTAGATAATTTGATTGCAATTATCACATCCAATGTACTGTACATGTATGACTATAGGCTAGCATTAGGCACTGATGGCAGAACACTCTGTACAGAATAATCAGTCACAAACACTGCATGTACAAGTAAAGTTTCCATGGCACATACCTGTGCAACCTTGCAGACCAATGCTTTTCCTAAACCTTGTCCTGTGTGGCAAACGTAAAATTTGTAGGAATAGCAGTTAAACTTGACATATACGTGTATATGCTTAGTTTGGTAAAGAGAATGTGGTGAGCAGATCCACCTTTAATAGACACATAAAACGAGTATTTGACCAATATGCACAAGTATGAGATGTGAAAAAACCTCAATGATACATGTAAGAGAGAACTTTGTGATTTCCATTATCTGCGTTTAAGTGTGTGTGCCTCTGTTAAAGCAATATGGGTTTGTGCACATTCAAATGAAAACTAAGTGTACATGTACATGCTCTCAAACCATTGCATGAATGTTATATGTCTGGTACACGTGTTGTGGTTTTACTTGCAACTGGAAAAACTAATTCCGATGGCCAGAATGGTCACAGGCAACAAAGCACAAAAGGGTGCACACGGGTGTCAATCTGGCGAGTGCGCGAGTGTGGACCAAAACCCTAAACTGCCTATTCAACTGGGCAACACGTAAAAAAAAAGTTTGCTCATTTGGGAGCTTGTGTGTTAACCCCAAATACACATTAAAAAGGTGCATTCAAATGTTTCGACAACCTGGTACCCATTTAGGTTATTAGCTCAAAATAATCATTTTCGGTTTCTCATCACAAAAAAAGAAAGCTTAAAGGTTGGAATCCCAGTCAAAGGTGGGAGATATCCACATCACATATTACAATCCAAATAAATATTTTACATATTTTTATCTTATAACAGTGTAAAGGTTCGTATTACTTCTCTCCATTTTTGCTAATATTACAAATTTTGAACTCACCTCGAAGTGTGCATGTTCTCCCTCCCAAGGGAGAAAGGAGGTGATCAAATGGCTCTTCACCCCAAATCAGAAAGTCTTGATGTTGCTATACATGTACATGTAGATACGTGTATATAGCCCTTTCATTGGTACCCTTATTGGTACCCTTCCTAAGATGTTTGACGAGGGCAACATGCCCCCTATCTGATCAGTACCCATCCAAAATTTTTTGGCCTTCCTTGCACCAACACATGTTTTATTACCTTGGTGTGCTGGCTGAATAAATAGATCTTCCAGGTACATCAACCTCCCAATCCAACTGCTGTACGCACAGAAGTACATGGCATATCCCACTACTGTCCCCCTTTGCGCTTTGTCGGTGGGATCTCCATCATCGATTGCCTCGGCTACAAGACACTGAAAGAAGGCATGGTCTCCAAAGTTGTCTACCCGCAAGTCTACTGGTGGATGAGTAAAATACATGAATGCTCTAGGCTTCATGATTCACAGGCAAAGGATTGACAGGTCTTTGATTACTTGTGCTTTTATGATTTGCAATGCTCCGAAAACCTGTACCGTAGGTGAAATTGTTTAATACATGATGCTACAAACATTTGCCTCAAATTGGTCACTTTTCCACTTCATGGTCAATGCATGCTTTTAACCAGGGCAAAAAATGGCATCCGAACTTGATAACACTGCACAACACTAACTGTGCATAGATGTAAATGTCATTTTGCCAAAACAAAAAACTTCACAGTTCCACGTTTTCAAGACCATCATTATCCATGCGCTTTATTGGGATTGTTTCTGTAAAGAACAGTTTATGTACATGTAAGGCTTCCAAATGTCTGTGTGATACCATACACTTACAGGTATCTAATGAAGCACCTAAAAAGTTGCACCAAATGAGGAACTGTAGAACACACCGGTACAAGTATCCAAGTACATTATCACACATGTACATGAGAACATGTACAAGTACAAACTTGACCGTTAAGTTGAAAAGTGGCTTCTTGAGGACATTTGGACAAGCATTATACTTTATACTCAAGATGAAACCATTTTTCTTGTTAAAAATAAAAGTACAATGTAAAACAAATGGATCTTACTAAAAATGTAATCTAATTTCTTGGTAATAATTGGTGATGGCTTGTTTAATTGGGTCAAAACAATCATTATGGTCAGGGCTTACAAAAAATTGAGATACCAGAGACACATCATGCTTCTCTCTAGCCACATGTTGTGCATGTACAACATGTATGCATGTACATGTACATGTAGTTTATGATACATGTTCATCATTGCATCAATGCGTAATATTGACATGTAAGTACAACGTATAACTTTATACCAGACAGCTTGAGACCTCAATGTGAGGTGCACATCTAAGTACAGTTTATGACTGATGAAAAGCTAAACTTTTATTTTGAGGAGCGGGGTGATCAGTCAGCCCATAAATAATAAAATCAAGTATTTACCAGCAGCGAGAAAGCATTGGAAAACATGGGCATGTACATGTATGTATGTAAGGTACAGTAGCTTCCTTCTTCCATTCAAGCCGAGGCAATCAATGACGCATAACCAACGGACCATGTAGACATGACAAGTGCTGGAATGACAGATGGTGGTGGTGGAGTATGCCATGCACTTCCATCATACATTTCACATTAATAAGCTTTTTTTTCTTCCAAGGGAGAAGAGGACCTGGCAAAGTACCTACATCTACCGGACATCAATAATGGTCTTGTATGAGTTTACAGTTCCCCCAAAAGAAACAAAATGTTTTCCTGGTATGTGTGCCCTTTGCACTGTCCTTGTTGAGATTTGATACATGCACTGGTAATTTGTATTTTGTGCATTTCAATTCCTATACAAAGCCTGGGAGCAGCTTAATGGATTGGGCGCTTTATAAAACTCAATTTTTATTATTATTATTATATAAATACCATACCTAAGTAATCAGAAATACAGGAGGCCACACTAAATACTTGAATATACTGTAGTCTCCAATATTTTGTAACATAATGGGGAGCACTGTATCAAAACTTGTGCCCTTTTCATGAGTGTACCTTTGTAATTAATACATCTATTGTACGTCCTTTAGTTTACTATGTAGTTACTGAACATCACAAATTGCATTCATAACTGAAAAGTGCCCCCTAATTGTCTGACACACACTGCTTGAAAAAGGTTGTCGGGCTTCCCCTACCCCTGCCCCATTCAATATTATGGAGGTCAGCATGGATGCCGAGTACCCATGCATTTTTTTTACATCGCCTGCCCCCCCCATAATCTTTATGTGCCAGCACAGATACATGTGCGCTTGTACATGATGCCTTGTGGGGTACTGGAACAATGAAAGGTACCCCACAAGGCCAATTTTGATCCTTGTGGTACCCCACAAGAATTTCACGAAATAGATATGTCAAATTTACTCAAAAAGGAGGAATTTTTAAGTGCCATTCATCCGTCGCAAATTGAAGTGTTTTATAAGGGACATACATGTATGGTCGAAATTTCAACCCAGAAAACTGCATTTGGTTGAAATGGCAGTGATTTGAAATTTTTTCTGTGTTGTGTGGGAGTTTTGTACACGAGAACAAAGGAAATACCCCACAGGTATACGTATGTAAGGGAATTTGTATACGTGTATGGGTGTACGTGTGCGCGTATACCCATATTTATGGACATACGTGTACATATACCACTCTAAACAACGACTGGTTTCAACTTAAGCATGAAGCTACATGTATATACATGTATACCAATGCACTTGTACCTCTGTGTGCAGGTTGAACGAAGAGATCTTCTAGGTACATCAGCTTGCCAATCCAGGCACTGTATGCACAGAAGTACATGGCATAACCCACCACTGTTCCCCTCTCCGCCTTGTCCGCATGATCTGCATCACTGATTGCCTCGGTGACAAGACAGCGAAAGTAAGCATGGTCTCCAAAGCAGTCATCCTGTAAATCTGAACAGGAGTGAGGAGGGTGAGTGTTGCTCATCATCAGCTAGGACTTTGAGCACTCTTGCCTAATGTCATTGTGACCAAGCCCAAAACTGTCTCTCCAGTCAATCCAGTGAAATACTCAACATGAGCTACCACAGAAAAGTCATGCAAGACAAATCTTTAGAAAGGGAAAGAATGGACAGAACAAAACAACTTACATATGGTGCCAACCTCTGCGCCTAATTTTGGAGTAGATGCACATGTAGTCTTTCCGAGTTTTTTAAAGCTGATTTGCATTGAACAAGTGGATCGGTTTATTGTTTGTTTGAACTCGCAATCATTTGCCATCTACATTGTAAATTAAGACATTATCCATTCAATATACATGCATTTGTACAGTGATGATATCGGTATTAACGTCACTGGTTATATACAGACACACACAATTCACTGACCATGTATACGCATTTACCATGGTATGTATTTGGGCTTTTGAAAAATAAGCCCCCCCCCGGCCCCTCCCAAAAAAGAATTCAGCCAGACTTGAAAAGCCTTAATTTGTTTTCAGAAACACAACTATTTATGGTGGATTCATTTATTTCCACACAGTGCACTAAGTCAAAGAAATCATGACAGCAGCATTTCTCTTTGATAACATAACTGTAAGCATCCTTTCATCAGTTATGTCAGTCAGGGATGCAATACATGTATGTGCATACATGTACATGTACAGTACATACACGCACGTAGGCACTGACACACTTTAGACATCATGACAGCTAAGGATTTCCTGACAGTAACGATTATTTTCAGCTCATAATACTGACTTTTTAAAGGGAGATACAGTACACCTACCCATTACAAATTTGGATTTACAAACACTGACCCCTTGTGGTCATTTCCCCATGAAATACCGCAATGTCTCAGGAGTTTAAGACTGGATTGAGCAAAGACACTAAGTACATGTATCTTTTCCTCTGTCGGTAGAAACTCATTTTTTTTGCAGGGGTAGGGAGGGGGTTCAGTTTCATAGGCAAAACCAGATGGTATGGTACATGTACATGTACCGGGTGCAGTCAAAATAGTGAAATACATGTACAAGAACGTCACTGCCATCTGACCACAATGCCCCATAAGTCGTGTAATTAACTATGGATTATTCCCATATTGTAAACATGATAAGTTCATTGAAGCAGGGAGGAGTGTTTTCTCCCCTTATCAGTGACATTATCTTTTATTTTCAGGCAATGTAAAGTGCTGGTGGTCCAACCTCTGTGGTCAGGCCATGAACAAGGGTCTTTCTACAGTTTGTACGTGTACCCTGTAGTAGTTAAGAATGTGACATTAACCTAAAAATTAAAAAATGCTTGGAGAAGATTAAATGCTCAAGCAAGAAAGGACAGTACAATAACCTTTTCACAAAATAGCTAAAAAGAGAACTCTCTATTCTAGCATAACAATTAAGGGTTATGCCTACTGCCTTTAAGGGATATTACTTACGTAACAGGGACAGACTCCTTGGTACATGTACATGTAGCCCCAGCAGTCAAGGAAGGTGTTTCTGTGTCAAGTGTGGGTGATCACTGTGGATAATATCACCCCTGTGAATCATGTATAATTTACCTTTAGCCCAAAAATTTCCCCAGTAAACCTCCCAAATCCCTGTGTTTTTCACATGGTCAGTGCATTTAGATGTACCTTTGTTGTTGAAATACAGTGCACGAATGCACAAAGTGTGTCATGTCAATAACTGGGATTACCCAAGGACTGTAACATTTTGATGGACCACGGACCTTACATGTATGTGGGTAACTGCATTTCTAGCAGGTGGCATGTATTGGGAAGTGAGCTCGCAGTGGTCATGTTTAATATTATTTATACATGGGGGAAACTCAAGTCTTTGGACACCATAAATATATGTGTACTGTAGATGTAGTTTCATACTTGGACTGAAACAGAGAGAACAAGCAACAGTTTCCGGCTTCTCACAGTCACAGTTGTCACAGTATCTAACACTCAATTTTGTAAGAGAATAATAAACAGACCCATCAACCAATTATTTTGGTTGTATTTCTGATATATCCTTAATACATATTTGATAACATCATCGTTATCCAATCTTTGTCAGTTTTTCATAAAATAATCATGTAAGTTTTTTTGTAGAAGACCTGCAATTGGATAACCCAGCTCCAAGTGTACTATAATAGTACATATTATGTATGTAGCTCTTGGCATGAGAGCTTAGTCTGCTCATGTCATCACATGTAATCATTTTTAACCACATAGCTACATGCACATGTAGGTTTTCCAAGCTAGTGTACCCATGAAACAGGAAGGCAATTTTGATTTTTCTTTCTTGAACATGTTGAAAGAATGACTCAGAGTTTAGTCATGTGAAGTATAATGTACATGTACATGTACTGTACATGTAATAAGCCTACTACTACATGTACATCTACATGTGCACAATTAAAAATAACCACTTTTTTGCCTGTTCAAGAATTAAAAATTTAACAAAACTGCTTACACAATATTGTGGTTTCATTACTGGCTAGAAAATTACAAGAACACTGAACATGTACATGTATCACATTTAACGCTGCTAGTCAATTGTTGAGACAAAACAATTTAAACATGAACACAATTTTTTTTTGTTTGTTTGGACATTTTGTGTATTTCGATGATTTCAATGTGATAACGTAATACATACTCTTAGACGTGCTGACTGCATTGCTCTTAACTAAGGACAAACAAGACATTATATGACCTAAAACAAAAATTTTCTGAGGAAATTGTGGTTGTTGTAGGTCTCTTATTGTACATGGACGAATCTGTAAAATAGTAGGCCCACTACATGTAGTATGGGGACTGGCTTGTACTCATGTATATCATACAGCCTGGGCCTCTCCTACGCCTACAGGCTACACTGACTGATCTTCTTCCGTGATTTTGACACTGACCTTCTTCCGTGTTTTGGACAGCTCGATCAGGATCTTCTCCTTCGAACTCTGCCAGTTCTTTGATTAATCTCAGAATGCTTCCACAGTCCTCGGGCTTTGACTGTCGCACGACGTATCGGAAACCCATGTTACTTGGCTATCTAATCGCCTGCAGAAATGAAGTATGTACAGGGTATACTAAATCGGTCGACCCTATAAACCAGGCTGGAATTGGCACAAAATTCGGGCTGGATTTTTGGCTGGCCTGATTTTCGGCTGGACGCTATTTTTACGGCTGCAAGCAACCGTTCACGTAGCCGGCTAGAAATACTACGGAGGCCGATCACAGCATAGCAGAAAGAGCCCATAAACGTCCACAAACAAATTACAGAAAAAAAACAATGTTTAAATAAATCCTTCGCTGGAATGTATCTTAGCTTTGAAACAACGTGAACAACTGAAATTTTTTTTCCCACCAATAGGAAACACAGATGGAATATGTACGAAAAAACACTAAGCCTTCATGCAAAATGGATAAGGGCACTAGTACAGACAATGATGGCCCAAAATAATGCCTTCACCAACCGAAGTGCAATTTCTATACTGTCAATTTTTCGTCTGTTAGGAAAGTTGGTGTCACATGAACTCGGTGGTTTGTAAAGAAGCATGGAATTTGAGCAGAGATATCAAAGAGTGCGGGAATCTATTTGAAAGTGTGAAATACAAAAAATGCAAAAATCTAAATCGCTCTATAATATAGATTTCAGGAGTCAATGCACCCGATTAGGAACAAAAGCGGGAATATCGCTTTCTGGGCTGATTTTTGTTTTCAAACGATTTTGTACCATCCTAGATTTCACAAAAGTGTGATCTGCTCAGCCCAGAAATTTTAATAAACTCTTCTTGGTGCTTTGCAAGAAATTCGATACACGGGTACGCAACACAACGACCATTTCAACCTTAATCGGCCAGCCAGCTTGCACCAGGCACACATGGTAATTATTTTAATTAAGTATTGTGCCAAACTGGCTGGCCAATAATAGTAAACACCCAGCAAACTCACCGACATCGCAATACGTCTGTAATGTCTGACATTTTCATGATATTATGCATAATTAATGTCATGTTGGTAAGGACTTAGAAACGTTTCAATGACATAATGATATAAGGTATAATGTAACAGTAACACCATCAAAGTTAGAACTTACGAATCATGTAAAACTGGCGTAAAGCTAAGATGGCCAAAATACAACTTACTGTAAACGCTGTTACTTCCAGGTTAGCACGGTTGGCAATAATAACGCCCTCAATCGGCAAAGCCAATAGCGACCTGTAGGGGTGCACTGAACTAATTGAAGCCGCATTGAAGACAATGTAAAATCGACCACGTTTGCAGCCCCGGTGCGGGCAACCGAAGTCCCTCAGGCCTGTCAAACAAAAAACAAAGTGTTCTGGGGTCATTCAGCTCTCAATTGATGTTCAAATTTTAGTAGGTTAACCAATGAAATTTTTAATTATCCACCCAAAACAAACTCACCCTCCAAAAAGTGAACGTTCTCAAGTCCGTCAGCAGCCATTTTTCAAGTGACACTCCCTCCACCTCTCAGGCTCTTGGGACAATTTTTCAGTGGTATTTTTCTATGCTTCGCCCAGGGATGGGAGCCCTTGAATCTAGGGAGTTCATTCTGGGCCATTCTTTCACAATCCCACAAGTTGTTGGGCCACACAATCTCCTCTTTTCCAAATAAACTCTACGGGTACTTTTTGAGCGCCTCAGCCTGCCGAAGAATTTCCCTTGAATTGGGCAGTGCACCCGTAGTGGTAAGAAATCTGCAGTTGTGACACGCTTGTGTAGTATTCGAAAATTGGAATATTTTCAATGAAATTTGGAAAACCCCAGCTACCAGCAATTTCACTCGCTCGAAAGGTCTGCATGGTACCATGAATCGTACAGTTTGATGTAAGCTCATGCTGAAAGAGCCCTGCTGATTTTTATCGCCCTTGCTTGGGCGTTTGGGATCAAATAAATTTTTACAGTGAAGCCTTTAGCATGGTCAATACTTGTTTGGGCCTTACACTGAGCATGAAAAAAATATTTTATTGAAACATAAGTTTTTATCTGTAGGCCTAAAACTGGTTTTAAAGAACTATTTTCTTGCCCAAATTAATAATTCTGAAAATACTATTTTTGAGTAACGACCAGAGTCAACACTGACGTGTTGACGGTGCTCATGTTATGGAGACTTGGATGAGGGATTTTAGAGACACGAACAACGAAGACAAAGAACCAAAACTTTAACATTTCGATCTAAACTTAAAAACCAACCTGTCCAATAATACATATCGACAAATGCTGCTGCGCGTACTCGTATTTAAAATACCATTTAATGGAAAGTAACATGATTTTATGACACTGAGTGTTTAGCTGAAACCTTGAGAAGAGTTTACAATTAATTAAATGAACTTAAAGATATAATCGGCATGCACGAAAAATGTCTAGTCTATATAATAACCGTCACTAACGAGAACCACGTCGGGCGGCTAATTTTGTATTATTTTTTTTACCTTTTTTTAGGTAGGGACATCTCAACGTTTATACATTTTCCTTCTCACGTATGCACGAACAAGAACATGGGAACGACAGAAAAGAAAGGTTGTCAATATAGTTCAACCTATTTGCATGTGTATTTTTAATAACATTACTGAACGTGAGTATTTCTTTAGGGTTTTTCATTTAGAATTATTCTTCCAAAATTAATAAACAGCGACCGTGATGGCGCCGTGTGGGCAGTGCGAGGGGGTTCTGGAACCGATCAGTGTCGGTGACATTTAATCTTTCAGGCTCTAGGGAACTTGGAACTAGTGTAGTGGCATGATGTGTGCACAAGGATGACTACTAGAGAAGTAACGTACAAAATGGAATGCCAGCCTCGGTAGTGGCAGTATTACAACTGTAAAAAGTAATTAAAAATATAGGTCTTGTGGTCTGATTGCATTTCTGTATTTTATTGGTGAATAGTTGATGAAAGGGGCATTAACCCCTCAAACAACTGTATTTTGGGCAACTGTTATTATAGGCTTGTTCCTGTCATTTGTACATTTTCCGGCTTCTACCGTTTTCATTAAATAAGGCCTATTTATATTTTTGTAAATAGATTCAGAGATTAAAAAAGTACCTCGAGCACAATGCACATTGCATCGTGCTACATTTGGCCAAAAGCATATTACTGTACCGATGTTTCACAAGCAGTGACGACATATGACCCATGGAACAATGTTCCGGTTGTGATACTGCCTACCGCGTACCGCCCGCCACGGAGTGCAACGGCATAAGTGGCGTAGTATTGAATAAATTATCGTAAGAGCCCTTCCTTTGCCGGGGTGGTTGTGATACTGCCTATTCGATATGCATGAACAAAACCGCGTGATTTCTGTCTGGTACGTGGTGCGGCGAGGTTTTTGAGCGTTAACTAATCAAAGGTCATTTCTCCAGGCGACCTAGCAATGGGTTTCCGATATATTGTGCGTCAGGCGAAGCCTGAAGACTGCGGAAGCATCTTGAAATTGATCTATGAGTGGGCGGAGTTGGGAAAAGATCCTGACCGAGTAGTCCAAAACACCGAAGAAGGTCAGTGAGTGTAAATGTTGGTCCAACCGCGTCTGCTTTAATATACGTGCATACCTGTGTGAATTTGCGGTTAGTTGGCACGCACAGGCCTAGATCAGCATCGCAATTAGAACTTTCTGTAGCATGCTAGACTTTGTGTCTGCAAGTATCGCCCACCTTAAGCAAACTCCACCTTGGATACATGTATTAAGGACATTAAGGACTTATGAACATACAGGAGCGACTGCCCCGGTAGGCCCCTTCAATTAGAACTAGCTAAAACGTATCCTGTACACATAAAAGGGCTCCATAGAAGTATCTTCCTTTGTACGGTAGCTGGCAATGGGCTGTACTTGGCAGAAATGAAAAGTCTGAGGCAGTCGTTCAACGACTGCCACAGTTAAAGTTTAGATGCAGGGTGAATAAAGGATAGTGAAGTTGATTTCCTTGTTGAGATGTTGCACCGTTATGGATCGACTTGGTATTGAGGAACATCAGTTGCAATTTTGTGATTTATGGATTTACAAAGCAGGGTTAGTCTAGTAGGGCCTAGTCGAGTGCATCATGTTTCCATCCAAGGGCGTTTATCATAGATAAAAAAAACACTGCCTGTGCACCTGATGAAGTCCTTTCGAACGATTCTGGCACTATAATTATGGTGAACTGTTCCTGTCTAATGGAAAAGACCGATGCGTCCACTAAATCACGTGACCTATAATGGGTGTGATCAACCCCATTGCGACGTGATTTGAATGTTGTTTACAAACAACAGAACCTATTTACGGTATAATAACCAGCACAACAGCATATAGTCTGAGTACCCACGGTCGGCTTTATTTTCGGTGAAAATAATGATACTTGTGAAACACTTCGCTGTTGGTGGATACCGTGTTTGTTGATATATATATATTAGACACCCACTAGTGGTCACATGACTTAGCGGGTGCAATCGGTCTATTTTGTTGTCCTGGTTGTAGACATTTCTTTTGTTTAGAACTATTGACCACCATTTTGTATAGATCGAACTTTTTTACTTAAATGGTTAACACATACCATATCAACCATGGGCAATGCTTGCATCCATTTCAAAATTGTGGAGTACAAGCATTATGTATGTGTGTATGTTATTTTGACAAAGGCAAGGAAAAGTTGAAAGTTTCATTAACCTGATCCATGCTCTGTATTGGGATTAATTTAGCAAAGAATGGTTTCTGTGGGGCATTCAAATGTAAATTTGTGTTGCTTAACCAAAGAGCAACATTAAGAACTTACCATTGTGATACCAAATGTATTTTGAATCTAAATACGTGCATTCTTGTCTTTAAGTATAGCAATGTACTACCTGTGTGTCTTCGTAGGGCAGTGTTGAAATAAATGTTGAATAACTAAAAAAAAGAAGAGCTGTTCTGTTGGGCCTGGTATGCAAGCAATTGACTGACAAGTTGAAAGGTGGCCTCTAGAGGCCACATTTATCCTGAGCTTGCAGAGCACAATATATTTTGGGGTCTAGCATTTCCCTGAAATCATTATCAGTCCATATGCATGTGCCTTGTTCAGTTGGAAATTTTCAAGAAATAAAGTTATCCCATTTCCCCATGGTAATAATCAATGCTGGAACGTATGATGCAGGCACAAAGGCTACTGGCTAGTGTCTATGAAAATTTGAGGTATTATGAAATTCGTCAGTACACTGCATCAGCACTAAATGAAATATGATGTACGAATTTGACACCGTACCAGACACGTCACAGTGAACATGACCTTGACATGTGGTCATTTATACACCGACATGTACATGACAGATGAAAACCTAATGTTTATTTTGGGGAGTGGCGTTCATTCAGCCCATGGACAAGGAGCTCTTCCCAATGTCAGTGGCCAATTCCAAAGACACAAGTACATATGTGTACATATTCCGTTAAGACTGAGGCAATTTTTTCGTTTTATTTTTGTTCTGTTTTAATTTTTAGATTTACTAATGTTTAAATTTTTAGAATACTACTGGTACGATTTGTAAATTGGTATGCCTTCCAACTTAAGGGCCCTGTATATTGTTAAAAGCTACTCTGAACAGGAATTTCAGTGCTGTATTCAGGTACATGTACTTCACATGTGCATGATCTGAGGTACTACGATTACTTTCCAAATACTGCAAAAGTATAATGCAGTCTCAATATACACGTAAATTAAGAGCTACATGTGCAGGTATTTGAAGGAACTCAACCAAGAGAGTTTGTTATTGTAAACACATTTTTATCGTGCAGTTTCTCGTAAATGTAGGCGTACATGTAAAATACATGTATGCAGTCAGTCCTGAAGCATTCATGAATTTTACTCAATTAGACTTGCGGGATAACGGCTTTGGGGACCATCCCATCTTCCAGTCAATTGTGGCCGAAGCAATTGATGATGGAGATTCAACAGACGAAGCGCAAAGGGGGACAATGGTGGGATATGCCATATACATATGTACGTACAGCGCCTGGACTGGAGGGGTGATATACCTGGATGATCTTTTTATCCAGCCAGCACACAGAGGTAATGAAATAGGTGTAAGGGAGGCCTAACTAATTTTTTGTTTGGGGGGGAGGGCATGTACTCTCATCACACAGTTCCTCCAAGCATGTGTACTTGAATTTCTTAAACTCCCAACAAGCACCTTGGTTACGAATGGTTACATGTAGACTTCGAATGCAATTTTTTTGATGTCGAGGTCAAGGTATATTTGTACCACTCCATCACACATAACTGTGTAGGCAAAATGCCATCCTCTTTTATCTCCGTTATTTCTGTCAGCATTATTGTCTTTACTAACCGAACATGCACATTTAATTTCATTACACAGGAAAAGGTGTAGGAAAGGCAATGGTCTGCAAGGTGGCAAAGGTATGTGGTTTGGAACCCTGCTCGTGCGTGTACCGTTTGTGCCTGAGTTTGTTTGCCAATTAGCTGGACTTTTAGTGATGGCAATGTAAGCATTGGTCACATATTGCGGTTTGCGATTGTAAGCGAGCATCTGGAAACTGCAAGGTCCCAGATGCTCAAGAAACTCTGACTAGAAGCAGAAACGTTGTTGCCTTTCGAACTTTTGTGTACACCACTTACAGCTGCCATAGATTCCACGTGGGTGTGTTTCTGTGTTAATAGGTACTGACGAGTTTAAGAAATTTGGGGGCGTTTATTTCTCGCTTTCTCCTCGTTTTTGATTTTTTCCAGTCAGTTGGTCATCTTTTGATTTTGATTTTCTGCAGATTGGAGCACAAAAAGGCTGCCAGGGCATGCAGATGTTTATGCAGGGATCCAACAAAGCCGCCCGTCAATTCTTCGATGGGTTCAACGCTGTTGACATCAGTGAAAAGGACGGCTGGAGTGTCATGTGTGTACAAGGGGATCACCTCTCGCAGCTTGGCAACTATTTGACAGAGCCAGAAGTAAAAAACGACATCCAATTCCTTTGTTAATGTGGCTGCATTCATCATGCTGGAGGAATTTCAATTATAGAATACATGTTTATCAATAATGCTTGGACTGATATTTTTCATTACTGAGTCATAATCGACTGTCACAAGTTAGTCAAAGGGTATACAATTATGTTCGTTGGTCTTGCGTTCTACAGCTATCTCCCAATATATATCGGCTAATTAAACTCACCTGGATTTAATTTATGGATTAACATTAAGATTACTATTTAATAATTAAATATAACTTATCTAAATTTAACATTTTGTACTTCCAAAAAAAGTCAAAAAGTTGCAGTTTGTCTTCTCGTTTGTAGTTAATATCATCAGTGTATGTGTATAGATATCCCCTTTTTATTTGGATTAGAAAGGCCGATCATTGTGCAGTCAAATCAAGAACCGGTAACGTTTTGTCAGCACAGTGAATTTTAACAAGCCTTAGTCGTTACTCTCTTGATCCCGAAGGAGTTTGATCATTTCACCTTCACGTAAAAGAGGAATAAAAGAATGAAAGAGGAATAAGAAAAACTCTGTTAATAATGTAACAAGGGTTCTTCTAACATTAATTTACGGATATGGGATTTGACTGTAGTCCAGTCGAAATAATGACTTATTCGTGGAAGGATTCTTGAATAATTTAGGGACAATTTCCTGCAAATTCATTTTAATGTACTTGTTCCTACCAGTGTGGTGTCCTTTCCGAATAGAGTGCAACCAATGTGGGTGCAGAGGAAAAATCTCCAAGAGAAAACCGTGACGAACTTGAAGCTATTCACTCGGGACATTCTGACGTGGGTAAAACTGAACACAATTTTAGTGATCTTGGGTTTTGAAGAATCGGTGATTGAAATTTATGGAACTGAAGAAGGAAAAGACTTGAAGAAAAATACTATGGGCTGTCAACAGATATAAGGATTTTCTTCAAGTAACCTTCATCTCGGAAGATCTTGATTCTAAGGGATTGGGGAAGACCAGGGAAAAACGTTAAAGAGGCATTGAGGCAAACAAAGCCTGTAACAGAGTGATGTCCAAAAATGAGGCTAAGGCCTAATTAGAAAAGCTTTTCTACCAAGATGAATATAGGGATACCAAGCAAGAAACTCTTGAAACTCTCGTAAAAACGCAGGCGTAAGGTTCGAATCTAATGAGTTTAGCAGACCCGAAGTTAAATGATGAGAGGACATTCAATTTTTCATAACTTTAAAATCGTTTGAAAATCTATTGTGAGAGATAAAATTTTGAATTCCCGGTCGAATATGATAAAATAAACATTGGCTTTCACCTAGCCGTTAGGGTTTTTCTTATAGTTAATGCAGTAAACAGGCTTATGATGAAGAGAAAACTAACAGCAGTCCGTTGTGTGAACATTCATTGCCCGTGATGTTAGAACTGCAGAATCGATCACATTTGCAAATGCGTGGTTTGCAAATTCACAATTAAGTCATGATCTGGCAGACCTTGTCGATAATATCAGAGCCCACGCCTTCAAGGCCTACACATAGTCCTGCATAAAATGTTGTCCACGTTGAGCAGAAGTTAAATTCGAAACAACAACAACAGCAGCAGCGATTTCTTCATCTAATTTTGCAGGGAACGAAGACCATTCGGCTTATTGAAGATCTATGTATAGCGATAAATATGGCATATGGGAAGAAGCATTGCCCCCGATCGAAGGTCACTGATTCAATGCCTTTCACCCATTTTAGCTGCAGTCAGTGATGCGAGACAGCTTTGACCAATGGTTGATTTATTGCCAGTGCATGGTCACAAAACCTCAGGCTGCTGCTCGCATCCAAAACAGGTACCGTGGCACTTGAAATGAGGCATGGTGTTTTGTCACTGACCGTGAGTTTCACATTGCTAGAAAACCGGCTTACCGTGACCCCGTCAGTTTGTGGACTCGGTGCCTGATAGTCTGGACGATAGTTTTTAAAAGGGCTCGTTTTAGGGGGAAGAAGGAGCATTTTGAACACAAGTTGGTAATGTGACCTATTTAACCTAATTTGGGGGTGCTGAATCCGAAAATGATGGATACCAAGCCGAATTTTGAGTTAAAGGGTCATCATTGCTAAAATAAATAATTCATCACATTACCTTTAAAGGTAAAGCCCTACTTTTTTCCATTGACCTCAAAATGAAGGCTCAAAAACACCGGCTAAATAGACAGCACATGACCTACGTTTCGCTTATTGCAAATGGCTGCTTTTATTTTTGATCAGGTGATATGCTTCTCTATCTTTAAGTGCTAAGTAACTGTACAGCACATGCATATGTTGCTATTACGTCTTTAAAACTATTCATGGTCCTTTGGGAGGAAATTATACATAAATGTACTTTCACGAGGCAAAGTAATTTTTCAGTAGACAGAATTACAATGGGAGTTTCCTCTATTTCTTCTTTAAAGTGCATAAAGGGTAGAGCACTGAAACTTAAACATTTTTCGATAAAATAAAATTTATAAGTTTGATAAAATGCTGCCATGTTTTGATTCCATTCCAGTATGGTTATGTGCCGAAATTAACTGGAAAATAAATATACTATGTTGTCTAGAAAACCAGTTGTTGGTTTGCACATGCTATCTTTTCTCTTAGAAAAAAATACTTCCAGGTTTCCTTTACATGTATTGTAAGATTCGTTATCTCACAGCTGTAAAAAATATGAATGTTACTAGTCTCACCTAATAGATGATCTACAAACTGATTGAGGAACAAGTAAATCAACCAGTGTAGTACGGTAAGTCATTGGATTTCAATGTTGAAAAATGCTTCCGATTCTTTTTGTTGGCGCCTACAAGGAAGCTTGGCTTTTCAACATTCACATTGAAGGGTTTGGCAATTTGTACGGGAGCTGTATGACATCAACTCCCGGCAAGCATCGGTAATAGTACCACGGGTCATCAGAACAAGTTTGAGGCCATTTTCATCACGTTGCCAACCCATATCTGCTCTACATCTGGGAGCACTGGAACTAGGGGGCAGTGAGCCTGCTTCCAAATCACTGGTTGATATTAAATTAGCTAACTTTATGTGTAAATGAATCGAGTATCTATTTCGGGAAAGCAACTCTTGTTTGCGAACCTTGGAGAACATTCTGACTCGCACATCATTGACCAGGTCAATTCTGTTATAGCCATATACATCTGCATAAAAAAAACTTCTCGGTGGAGAGGGGAGTCGCTCAGTGTTTCTACTTCAAACCTAATCAATAGATGGTTGTATTGGATACAGACTGACCAGGATGATTGTTTGGTGTGACCGAAGAAATAAGAAGTAGTGTCACAGCCAGTGAGTGTATGGTATTGGAAAAGCCCATCCAAACAACCCGTGGCATTTAACTATGGACATCATTCATCCGTATGTATTTCTGCTTATTAGCAGATCCTGCCATCATTCACAATTCTTTACATGTTGCATAATTAAGTGATATGTCAGACGCAGGAGGGCATCGGTGTCCCATGCTGCAATATCTGTGTACATTACATGGGCATTGATGGCATGGAGAATAAAGACGTGTATCAACCTCTCCGTGGGTTGCTTGGACAGGAATGACATTGGTATTGAGTATAGAACACCAAACCTCAGTTTCATCCTCAAAGCAACCCCCAACAACAATTTCTTTGTAATGTGCTGCACTTGCAAGGAGCTCTCTTGATAAGAAACGAGCAGTGTCTGCCTTGTTTTGTGACAAAGTGATGTAGTTCGCCCAAGAGCTCGGAAAGGGCACATCTCTGCTTTCAATAACACGACATATTTACCAAAAATCTTTTGTTTTTTCTATGCTGTCAAGTACCTGCTGTTATGAACTCATTTCTATATCTGTTTTGACAATAATAATAATAATTGAAAATTTATAATGCGCCGTGTCCATAAAAATGTTCAACGGCGCAGTACAAACTGACGTTAAATATTATTTACGAAACGAAACGATAAAATGACAATAATATTACCACCGCGCTAGTACCCAAACTGCAGTATGGGGATACGTCTGTCCCGCCAAAAGGGGGAATAATTTAACCCCAACCTAACCCTGATGGCATCAGCGATGTTTCGATCTTTCCCGGGGACAAACGCCTCTAATCGTACCTACGATAAAAGAAAGGTAATTATACCAGACATGGTGACACTAAAATAACGAATCACAGCTAAACCTACGTTAAAATTAAAATAGTAATAACCCTCCTTAATAAAACTAATAAAATCACGAATCTTGCAGTGAAATATCACTGTACAAATGCAACATTAAAAAGGTAACAGTTTTACTTTTCATTTAATAAAGGCAAGGTTTTGCTCGCACCGTATGTGCCATGGCAAGGCATTCCATAATTTAGGAGCAGCCACTGCAAATGCCCTGTCACCATGTCTGGGTAGCATTTTACTGTTAGGGAAACTTAACAAAGGGCTGTTGCTTGCTGACCTGAGATGATATATAGACTCCTTCTTAATGATGACAAGATTCGTTAAGTATCTGGATTGCCGTGTGCATGTACCTTTGTCATTTTTAGACTCAATTCTTTGGATGAACGACAACAAAATCAGGTTGGTATCCTCACTTTTTGGACTCCTGGGATATTAATCCAAAGTAAAGTGTAGGTTGCTTGCTTCTACTCAAACATTTCTGAAATAATAATAGCCTAGACTATGGAGTTATACTGTATGAGTCAGGGCAAAAAGTAAGAAAGTGCAAATTGTATGGATTACGTCATCCATAAAATGACAACAGTCGAACAGGAAGTAAACACTTCTGAAAAAAAAACACTGCATAAGTAAAATCTTACAAATGTGGTAAGCTAGCCCATTTTTAAAAACATAGGTGTTTCCTGTATTTGCGTTTTATTTTGCAATCTATGTGTGCAGAGCTCGAGGAGTAGTCTTATAAGGGATCCTGAATTCTGGTTGTACAATGCATTACCTGGGTTGCTTGGCCATGGGTAGTTTTCTGTTTTTTTACCGTGTATATTCTGTACTTGTGATTGTTCTCTATTTTTGTAATTTTGGTATGTGAGGGTTGTTATTATTATATATTTCTGGTAATGACACCAAGGATTCCTCAAAAGCGCCCTAGGCACAGTAGCTCGCAAGCCTGAAGAAACCTGTAGAGAGGAGACAGTGAGAAGCAGTTACAGTTGTAGAGGTGGGAGGAAAACCCCAAGGGAATATTCTGAGTAAAACCCACGGAATCAGGCAGGGACTGAAAACCCAATCCACAAGTGGACCAGGTCCGGCGGATTCGAGCCCGGGCCGCAGAGGTGGAAGGCGAGGAAAGAACCACTACGCCAACCCGACTCCCCCAAAGGCTGTAGCCTTTGGAAAGCAGTTTCAGTTATCTTGAAAGGACTGCTTTCGTTAAGTTTCTAGTAAATAAAGTAATATATCAAGCTAGTTTTCCTGTGACTGTATGCATGGAAACACTGCATTCATACAGATGACCGACGAAATGAACCTAACCTGCTAGTGCCGTTTTCTGCCAATCCAGGCAGAGGGGGCACCATGCAAAAACAAGAGATTCAGTGGCAATCTGGGCTGATGAGTTTGGAAACTCATTGATTTGGAAACTTATTCAGTTCGTGTAAAAAAGACAACGATATTTCGATATTACTTAACATAAGCTGACTTTATGGTAATTCAGAGGGGGGATAACCGAACGACAAAATAGTCAGCATGGCCAGCAGGCCAGGGTCATATGAAAGAATAAACCTACATGCGCACTATCGATCAACCACTAGTAATGTTTTCGACAAAGGAGCTTGAATCCTGAAAATCAGTGTAGGGGAAGTGCAAGAGAGTTGAACCATTTTAAAAAAATTATCAATATTTCCCTATTAAATATAATTTGTTGGAGGTGTTTGTATGGTAATACCATGTTGACGTACTATTGTATAGTTTATATACTTGGCTATTTTTGTACGATGGAAATCCTATTAAAAAATTAGTCAAGTGGCTCAACGCACCCGCAGTGTAAGGAGTATTGAGCATTGTCTTCGGGAGAGTTGTGCCAGCTTTGGAAAGCTTAACCAACAAATAAGGCGTGGAAACTTTGCCTGTTAATAGCGATAAAAAAGATAGCTAACAGAATTGACTGATTTTCTCTTTCATGAAAATAAATGTAAATTACAGCATTGAGGTGTTTGGAAATAAGTTCAATCACTCTTCACAAGACGAGATATTTACACCTACACATGAAAATAATCACCCAGTATTACTGTAAAGTTCTGCTTTATTCTTTCATCGTTCACCAACTGGGAATTAAAAGTCATTTTCCTTTGTGTTTCCTAGGATTATCCCTTGCACAGTGAACAGATGAAAAAGCAAAAACAAGTAAAACGTCAGAATGAAATGCAACAAGAAACAATGGACAATGGTTTTATAAAATAAAAAACGCTGAAGATCAGTCAAATCTGTTTGAATTCTTTTAACAGATCAACACCCAGAGTAATACAAAAGCATAAGAGGGAGCATAAATATTTAGTCTTCTGTTTCAGTTATAATGTAATAATGTGCTATGATATCCATATCGATTCGTTATCACATTTTAACAAGAGTTTAAGATTTTGTTAACTCTGAAAGCATACATCAAGTTCCATGATTGCTCAGGTTGGCACAAAAATACGAACTACTTTTCTACATCGTTAACAACTAAAACAATTTACATCATGAGTAAAAACAGGCAATGTTGTGCAATAACAGTTCAAACATAGGTTTAATCCAAGAAATATGTCATTTTTGTATGATTATTTGGAAATTTTCTCATGCAAATGCCCACTTGCAACAATAACTGTTGCAAAAACGTATACATACATGTATATGCTTAATCCGTCAGTGTGCAGCATGTATACGATTTGTTTATGACTTAATTTTCTAGCAAATATCACAATTCATCCAAGCTAAATATACCATTACTGGTCGAAACGGTAATGATCTTTGAAGGCTATATTTTATATTTATAGTGCATTCAAATCTCATTATTATATGGAAATTGATAATTAAGCAACACCATTTTACTCTTTTTTACGGAATATTTTGTCCAGAGTAGCTTGTGCACTTAAAATTGTTACAGTTTAGTACCAAGTAAATGCTTGTGTTGGCCTTTCAAAAGAGGTGTTTCTTGTAAATATGTGGTACTGTTTCCACCCCGTGGGAATAGGGTTTTGAGCTAGTCGATCTGTCGCTTAGCAAAACTTTATTTATTGCATAAAGTTTCTGTGAATCATTTATTTGTTTATTTCAAATCTTAATTTTTTAAAATTTATTTCAGTTAGATTAATCGTTTAATGCTTCATTAACCCAACAAGTCTCTTGTTGCATACAGTATTAAGAGAAATTACAGCGAATTATTCCGTCTGTGCACTTAATTGTCCCTCATTAGTCAGTAAGCCAAGGAACAAAATTTTTTGTAGTGTCATAGTTTTTAACAATATAAAGGGATTTTCTAGAAAACATCAAGCTCTGAGCAGGACTATACGTCAGGCTTCGGGAGGGGATTGCCCTAACAGCTACGCCACTGTTACCATTCTTCAGACAGCTGTAAAACAGTTTGGCCTAACAAGTTAGAATTTTCATATGTTATCCCCCCTCGAGCAGAAGCGTACCCTCGTCTTTTGAAAAGAGCAACATTGGTTGGGAGTGTTCACTTGTTGGTAGCAATGCGACTCCAACACCTGTATTCTTTAGTCGTTCGTGAACCAGCGAACCAGCATTCCTCCTTCCTGCGTTATATAAAAGAATAAAGGCGTCTTTCCATTGTGCACATCAACACATACGCCAACCATTGTGTATCTACGGAGCTCTGGAAGTGCCATCCAACTTGTTTAGATACCATATAATTTTTCTTATTAAGTTGACTTATCGAGTCGATAAATGATGTCAAGTCGACTTACTAAATCTAGTAAGTCGATTTGGCGAGATATTTCATGACATCAAGTCTACTTTCGGAATTCCCTGTGTCGAATTGGCGAGATTATTTATGCAGTTAAATCGACTCCCCTATTTGGTGAGACGACTTGGCGAGATAACTTGTGCCATCGAGTCTCACAGTGCCTTTGGAATTCGCGATGTCAACTTGTTGGGATAATTCATGTTGTCAAGTCGACTTTACAATTGTGGGAAGAAGACTTGGAAAGAAAATTTACGTTGTCAATCCAACTTCCTAATTCCGGTAGGTCGACTTGGCGAGATAATTTATGTCATCAAGTCTGCTTCTAAAATTCGCTGTGTGGACTTGGCGATATAAATTATGTTGTAAGTTGACTTCATAATTCTAGTATGTCGACTTAGCGAGATAATCCATGTCATCAAGTGTACAACACGCAGGCTAGAACTGACTACTCACAAGTGAACGCGACCTGCAGCGTATTTTCTCGCCAATTAAGTCGACTTGCTATGGGAAATCGACTTGACAGAAAAATTTATTTCGACGAGGCGACAAAGTGAATTCTGAAAGTAGACTTGATGACATGAATTGTATCGCCAAGTCGACTTACTATAGAATTAGGAATTCGATTTGAGTATTTAACTTATCTCACCAAGTCGATACAGCCAATCCGGAAGTAGACAACAAAAATGATCTCTCCGAGATGACATACCGAGTTCTGGAAGTGGACTTGGTGACATAAATTGTCTTGCTATGTCAACTTACTTGAATTAGGAAGTCGACTTAATTACATAATTAATTATCTCTCCAAGTCAATATAAGGAACTCTGGAAACAGGTTGATGTTATAAAATATCTCGCGATATAGTTAGGAAGTCGGCCTCACTACATATATTATCTCGTTAAATCGACTAAATACGCTTTACAAGTCGACTTACTAAGATAAATTATCTCAGTATTTGAACAAGTCGGATGGCACTCACAGAGCGCTGAGGTATCCGTCAAAATCGCCTCCGGGGCTATTTTGATGGCGGAACAACGCACGCACACGTGTGTTATGTTAATAGACTCGAGTTTTTGTGTCCGTAAAAGTGAAACGCATGAACGCATCGTTTTCGCAATGCACAAAAAAGAAAGAAAAAGAATATGCAAAGGCCCCCTAACAAGAGTAGTTGTCAGAAGCGTATCCAGCTTTTGGCGTGGGGGGAGGACAAATTCAAAAGCGAGCAGTGCGGCTTCGGGTTTATTTGACATCATGATATGGGTGGAGAAAAAATATCGAAAGCCTTTCTTACGGTCCCGAAATCAGTACTTTTTGTGATGTTGTTTTATTAGGGTTATGGTGTTAATATTTGATAAATAAAATTCAATATTCATAAAAAGATTTGATAAATAAATATAAACAAGTGAAGTTTCTCCCTGCCCCCGCTGGATACGCCACTGGTACTTGCATGCGCCATACTTCGGCGTTTTTAGTTATTCACTGTAAAAGTTGGCGGAATCTTATTACAATAGATATTTATATTAGATTTAGTTTTACAGTTTTTCGTCGCCGTTTTCACGAAGAGCCACAGACGTCATAAGTAGCATTTTTGGATTTTGATTACATTCATGTTGTTAGGGGCCAAAATCTCGATGAATGCTTTTTGCGTTTTCACAGAGACACAAATCTTAGGCCCACTGCCCCTCCACACGCAGGGTACTCACAAGAAAGGCCAAACAGTAGGTCAGTGTTAATGTTGGGATCTCTCTTGTGACTGCTTAGCCACGGAAGGGCTTAATTTTGTTCACAGGGGTGATGGGTGCGGTATGAACTTTCGCTGAACTCACAGTGCTTCCAATGCAGGCACACATGCAGAGGACTTGGGAAGTATACCTTTCTGTTTCTTCCCTAGTCATTATACTGTAGATAACAGAGACTCACCGACAGTCTGGGTTTATAATTCGGGAAACCTTTTATTTTGTTGCTATAAATTTCCGACAGCAAAATACTTTCTTAATCTTTGATGACTTTTATTTGTAATAATTCAGAGGGGGTTTACGGAAAGAACGGAACAGCGCATGTAGCACGGTCTGCTGACCAGCGGGCCGAGCCGTAACGCGTCTGAACGTAACTATCTGCGCACAATCTATCAACAGCAGATTCTTGTAAAGAGCTTGATGTTACTCGTCCTGAAAATTTTGTAAGTTGGTCAAGCAACGTCCTTTTTCATTTTCTTTTTAGCGTATCTAACATGGTAGGCTGACTTGTTGGCTGCCGGGGCACAATAATTGGACGCCATTTAGGTTTTTCCGACGTTTCGATAAAATTTACTGCCGTGTATGCCGTGCATATACATGTACATGCACTGTACATGTACATTGAGTCCACTACACAAAAACGGTATATAATGATTTTAGGGCTTATTTTTCTAAATATATGCCTGTAGATGTATTCTTTGACTATGTAGGCTCGTTATCTAGTCAGCACAAATTTATAATCCCTAGCGAGGTCGAGCGTTTTAAGGTTGATCTGGGATGTACAGTACAACGTACTGCAACATGCATTGTATTATGGGTTTATTTTTCCGTGCGTTTATTTGCCACGGTTTGCGGGGTCTATATTTTGAGTCTGCTTTTGTGAATTCTGTTTTTCATGCCTATCCGACTGAGTTTGTTTGACTGTTTTTTTTCCATATGAACTCATTTAGAGTTTCGAAATTTGCCACTGTAAGAGTTGGCAAACTTATTTAAAAGAATCCTTTTACTAAAAATACCAAAATACTTTCAGAGTTGTATGAAATATAATTTCTATTTTAATTGATGAAAATCAAAGATTAAATTTTGAAATATCCTTTGTCAACCAAAAATGTGTTAAAAAAATTAAAAAAAAAATTGCAGAAATTCCAATTTTAGGGAAAAGTCCATCTGCAGTAGGAAAACAACATAAAGGGACCACGTGTAGCAGAAACGTTTTACTGAAGTCCTTGAAATAGCACCGTGTTGTTCAAATTTATTTGACATGGGCTCTTTTGGGTTTGATTCCTATTCATATTCATGAACAACACTGTGATTTGATCGAAGGCACTTCAGTGTTGTATCACGCCGGGAATTTAAAAAAAATGCTAGATTTTATGTAGGCCTAGACCTACTTCGCAATCGAAGATTTCCATTTCCATTAGCAATTTAATGTTGCACGAGTATTTAACAATAAGACAGAGATCAACCTCTTAATCAGAAAGGTTTTCAAAGAACAAATTTTCAGTTGACGTAGAACCAGTTTTGTTATGACTTGAGTCCAGCTCGAAGTACATTTTGGCGATTCGACTCGACTCGAGTCAAAAAATGACTGGACTCGAGTCTCTCGTGGAGACTTTACTTGCGCACAAGAAGACTCGTGTCTCAAAAAAAATCAAAATCAAATTTCTTTGGCAAAAAAATATTTGAAATCTGACTCATGCACTGCTATATCGATTGTGAATACGTAGTACAGGATGTACACATGCGGCACATACGTGCGCCAGTCTTTCTCTTCTTCCAAGCATGGGAAACATTCATCGTTTCGCGGACTATCACGTTGTGATTCTGTAGCATGTAATGCTAACCCGGAACCGGACTTAAAACGCTTTCACTTCTCTTGGCCTCGTCTTTGACTTGGTTTCAAGCTACCGCTACCTCAAATCTTTGGTACCTCTGTCTCCACTCTGACGCCTCGAACACTTGAACAAAATAAACAGGCTTCAGCCCTGGATTAAGAAAATAACCGCTGAATGTGACCCAGATCTCAGTCTCAGTCTTAGGGCCCAAACATAAGTGGACGCCGAAACCAATGCCGAAGCCGTCCTTCAGAAATTGACGTTCGTTGTGCACGAGCTTGCAATGCAATGGAAATTTTTGATTGGGTACTATACAGCATATTTTATGTCTTGGGATGTTAACAACAAACTGGTG